TCCAGAGGGAGGTGGGGGCGGTCGGACCAGCCCTGGCGGGGCCTCCTCCGACTCCTCTCAGAGCGGAGGTGGAGGAACCAGAGGAGACGGCGCTAAACGTTACTCCCCGCCACTTTACACACCAGCTCTGCGCTGCCACTTCAAAGACGAGGGTGGTGACGGGGCAGAAGAGGGCTCAACTGGAAATGGAGCAGGGCGATGCAAGTACGCCCTGAGCACGCTACCCAAGAGGCTGTGTTTAGTATGTGGGGATGTGGCCTCCGGTTATCACTATGGTGTGGCGTCATGTGAGGCCTGCAAAGCATTCTTCAAGAGAACCATCCAAGGTGTGTGTTGTGGTGAAATTTAAGTCTTTGTATAGCAGAACAGTTAATGTTTTCCTCTGACTCTGTGATGTAACAAGCTCACGGGTTTTCATCTGGAGTACTTGAATCATGTTAAATATAGAATTTTATTTCTATGGCACGGACCACTATTGACCACCACTTTCTTAGGAATGAATTGGCAAATAATATTTCCTCAATATTTATATTTTTCTACATACCCTGCCGGTATTCTAGTATTCCATTAAAAGCTTTCATTTAACTTTTAAACACAAGAGCACATTTAGTTAAACTAGTTAAAACTATTTTAGATATAGTAAGTAATACAAATATTGAATATTCTTTTATTTTATCATAGTCAATAGGAGGTTTCTCTCATATTTTGAAAATATCTTGTAGTGTTACTCGTGTTGTTGACCTCTGTGAAGTCATTTCATACATTCTATGTACTTATTGGAGAGAAATCGGATTTCTATTACACCTGTGTGAGGGCCGGTATAGCTGGAGTGTAGGACATTAAAATAAACATAAATTGATTAGGTTTAATATAGCTGGTGCCGATCAATTAAAATATCCCTTCATCAGCTCCAGTACCAATCTGGAACAGTTTGGGGCTTCCCCGGTCTCCATAGTGGTGAAAAAGTTTGAGGAAGGCAGGAGTGACTAAGGATCGACACCACATACCGATGGTGTGATTAATATGTCGGTGTATGTAGGGAAACTTAGTGGGTAGGTTAGCTTGTGTGATTGTGATACTGAATAGACTGTATGTTTAAAAGATAAAAGAAATGAAAGAAGGTGGTTTTCATTCATTTCGAATGCTCACTAATATGTGTATTTCTTAATCCTCTCCTTAACTGTAAATTGCTGTATTTTGTTTTTTCCATAAAGGTAACATTGAATACAGCTGTCCAGCGTCAAACGAGTGTGAGATCACCAAAAGGCGCAGAAAGGCTTGTCAGGCATGCCGCTTCACAAAGTGCCTCAAAGTAGGCATGCTGAAAGAGGGTGAGTGTTCATGGTGTGCAGAAGCTCTGTAGCCAGTAGTTGATGTTATATCTTAAGGGTCTTTATTTTAACCCTAAAATATGGTATATTCTGTGTTTTTCCTGCAAAAATCTTAATTATTTCATTTTTCACAATGTAGGAGTTCGTCTTGACAGGGTCAGAGGTGGACGGCAGAAGTACAAAAGACGCCCAGAAGTGGAGAATGCAACATACCAGAGTGCTCCTCTACCACTGACAAAGGAGAGTGAAAAAGGTGGGATTTACATCTTTGCCTTGTCATTAGTTAAGATAACACAGTGTAATATGATTATGATAATCAGTTTGGGCAAATTAGATGAAAAGTGGCTCAATAACACAGCATATTGTTGATCAGCCAGAGCTAAAAGATGTGATGTCAACGTAGCAAACTATAAAGGTGCAATCAGCCCACACATTAACCGTATATGATACTGAGCTCTATTGGGTTTTGCGTTTTGCAGCGAAAGGCATCTCGCTATTGCTATGCAGCACGTTATTGATTGTTTGTGTGCTTGCAAAGTACATGTAACTACAGTAGCTACATTCACAGACAAAGATAAGCTTGGTTGGTAGGTCCCCCCTACGCATGTCTGATTTAAACTTGAGACACTCAAGAGTGTTCCTCTAAAGAAATGCAAACTATATAAACACTAAGTACTCAGAGAATACAAGACATCCATCCATCGTCAACTGCTTATCCTGCGTACAGGGTCGCAGGGACAAGACATACAAAACGCTTCAAAACCATTGGAATTGATTAGAAAATGGCGCCCTCTACTGCCAAAAACTGGTGACGTTTTTTAGTCAGCAATACAAGAGAGGAAATACTGACTTAACTTGGAGCTCTTGATTCACATAAATCTGGCTGAGGAGTTAAGCAAGTTCAAAGCAAAAGCTCTCTCAAAATAAGAATACCTGTCTGATAATACATCAGTTTAAAGCATGTCTAAAGCATGAATATAGTGCAGTATATAGTACAGTTACCACCAGTACAGAGCAGCATGTTGTTAGAAACAAAATTGATGATCTATTAGTTTAGATAAGGAGTTAATATTTTAGTTATCAGTGTGTGTATAATTGTACATTGCACGTTTAGTCTGTGCATCATATTAATCCATTGTTTTGTGTCCATTTTGTGACATAGGTTCCTCCAACATCATTGTGTCCCACCTTCTAGTGGCAGAGCCAGAAAAGTTATTTGCCATGCCTGACCCTCTGCAGCCCGACACAGCCCAGCGCACGCTCACCACCCTTTGTGACCTTGCTGACCGTGAGCTCGTCGTCATCATCGGCTGGGCCAAACACATTCCTGGTAAGAGATTATGAAATAGTGGAGGAGAGGCAGTGATAGCTTGGCAGCAGTGGAAGAGATTAATGAAAGAGTAATGATCCAATCTCACCCACCACGAAGAAACTTGCTGTGTAATGTTTCACTCAGGCCATGACTTCTGGATTTATTTTCACAGAACTAGAATACTGACCATTATAAATGGCCTGTGTGAACCTGATTCTGATGGCTGAACAGCCTAATTGATAGGTGCAACAAAGTGGATAGGTAAAACAAAATGTCTGGAACAAAATATATTAAATTAATTTATTGGTGTGCGTGGTGTGTTAGAAGAGGAGATGCAGTATTTCTAGAAGTTCAGAAGTTCAACTGAGGCGGTGCAGTGCTCGACTGTATTAAAAGCTGTCTCTTCCCCTGCAGGCTTCCTGTCACTGTCCCTAGCAGACCAGATGTCTGTGCTACAGTCAGTGTGGCTGGAGGTGCTGGTGCTGGGTGTAGCGTACCGCTCGCTTGGCTGTGAGGACGAGGTGGTGTTCGCGGAGGATTTTGTCCTTGATGAGGAGATGTCACGTGTTGCTGGACTGACAGAACTAAATGGAGCAATTAGTCAGCTTGCTCGCCGTTTCCGTGCACTAAACGTGGACCGGGAGGAATTTGTCATGCTAAAAGCCATCGCACTAACTAACTCAGGTACTTATACTTGTGTAGTCGAACAGACATTTAGATCAAATCATAGAACTAGCATCAAACTATTAGCATAGAACCAGTGGATCAGTGGTTCATGCTGTAGGTTTTCCTATAACTTGCCCTAATTAGACCAAACTGAAACTGCCAGAAAGTGTTCTCTAGTAGTATTACTCCTGCAGCCTTTTATAGTGGAGTCACCCCACCCCTGCCTGAAGTTATTACATTTTTATGAAATATAACGTTTATGAAGGGCAGTGCTTGGGAAACCCTGCACATAACTAAGTGGAATATGACAAAACCGCCACTCAGGTTCCAGTTTAGTAGATACATTATTAGAAAGTTTATTAGCTCAAACTAATGCAGTCTATTACAATAGGAGTTATCATTTTGCAGGCTGTGGTTTGTGGTGCTACTGATAAATATTGTGTTATACAGAGAGGTGTTTCTCATTCGTACAATACCCTCATTGATGTAATCTCAGCATAATGGAGTGCAGTTCAACAGCACCAGCATTGGTGGCGTTGGTAGCAACAAAAACAGTGGATTAGCTGGAAGCGGTGCAGACGATGTCAGCTGTCCAGTTTTTTAGCTCGATGGGATTATGTGCATGTCAGCAGCCAAAGGCCCATGACAATAGGAGGGGTTTTGTTTTGCCAGCGTTAGGTGCAGTGGATGTTATTTTGTTTTGTTTCAGTTCTTAGTTGATTACTACTGCAAAATAAAAGGGATATTCTTCTAGTCTTTGGCAGACAGATCTACCATTGTAGAAATGAGCATAATAGTTGTGGCAAGTTAATAATTCATAACCTTTTACGTAGACATCTCTTTCACTCAAGATTACTATCAACAGCAGATCATCTAGCACGCCCTGCTTGCAGTACCGATCCACTGTTTGTTTTGTAAACAAAGGCTGCCATTAGTTTCTATATGTTACTAATCAACAGGCTTTCGTTCTGTGGCAAAAGCTGATAAAAAGTAGACACCCTACACAGTGCCTTACCATGTGTTCCCTGCTGTTCTGTCAGACTCTGTATACATCGAGGACATGGAGGCTGTACAGAAGCTGCGGGACCTCCTCCACCAGGCCCTGCTGGAGCTGGAATGTCAGCGGCACCCAGACGACCCCCAGAGGGCAGGACGCCTCCTTTTAACATTGCCTCTCCTCCGACAGACTGCTGGTCGTGCTCTTACCACCTTCTACAGCATTAAGACCCGTGGTGGCGTACCCATGCACAAACTATTCCTGGAGATGCTGGAAGCCATGATGGACTCTCCCTAGAGTGGAAAGCAGCAGAAGTAAAGGGGATGCAGAGAAAGACCCAACAGAGATCCAGTCTTCGAGAGAGGATGAGTGGTTTGTGAGGAATGAAAGATTTTATTACAGAATTAACAATGAGGAAAATGGTCCTTGTCCCCTAGGCTACATGAAGAAAGGAAAAGAATATGAGAAAAGAAAACCTCATGCATTTGTGGTAATCGTGGGAATTGGATTATTTACATTGAGGTGTAACTGCCAAACTCCAGTAAAAGGCTCCAAAAGTGGAAACATTTAACTTGAATGCCAGAAAATTGCTCAGTTTCAACTATTTTCATGGTGTGTTCCATCACAGCATTGATCTGCAGTTGCATAACCACTGAAGAACAATATTTAGGTATCCAAGGACAGACTGCAATCGCGTGGCTTTTGAACTTTTTAAAATAATGCAACATCTAGTCATGAAAGCCATAACTGCATACTCACCGAAAGACTTGAGGGTCCAGTATAGGGTCACATTGACATGCACGCTGGAGTGCTTGTATTTACTATAGTTTAGTGTGCCGTTGTAGGCAAATTCATAGGAATTACTTGCAATATGTTAAAAGCAATATAATGACTCGATTATGGTCTGTTCCATTTAAAATATGGATAAAATGGTGAGACATCTAGTTGTGTGTGTATACCAGTAGTTCTCATTCTCAGGACCCTAAGTGTTGATTTTTTTTTTTCTCTTCATTCTTGCTTCTAGTAGAGACTGGGTCGGGGACACCAGGTGAGTATGATAGAAAAACCAGCGGCACCTTTGGGGTTAAAAACTGGAGTTGAGAACCACTGGCATACATAGTAGGTGCAGGATTCTTTATAAAAGGTTGTGCAATTGATTTGTCCAGGAGAAGTGCATATAAAGATTGTGTGTACTTAATGCTGTACTTGGAAGGTAATGTATTCAGTGTTGTAAATTCTATTGGCACACAAAAAACTAGCTTCCGTACAAGCAAGCGCGTGTGTCTGTGTGCAGTCTAAACGAGTGCGCTACTGTACACTGAGATCAGGGAAGAACACAAGTCTTTGACATTAAAGCCAGTGTGGCAACAACGGTGGTTAGAAAAGAAATGCATATGCCTCATCTGCTTTTTTATACAGTCCTCCTCCACTAGATCTAACCACTATTTTTGACTTAAGCAAAAATAAGAGTCTGACCTATTTGACCCGTTTGATTTCTGGGCTATAATGTCTAACATGAACCCATATGATTGATAGGTGTCTGATGCGTTTTTGCTGCATTTTCTGCAGTAGTGATGAACGTCGCATAAAAGATCTCAATTGTTCCAACATCCCTCCTTTGTGTACGTACAGTTGTTGAACTGTACCTTGCAAGTGCCCGTAATGGGCTCAGGACAACAAGAAATGCAACATCTTCCTTTTGGATGTTGAAACCTTGTTTGACAACATCCTGAAAGTCCTACTCATTGTTCAGCAGGTTTGTATACTTACAGTAGAAATGATCATTATAGTAAGCTTCACATGCAATGCAAAGCTACAGCGTCTGATGATAAAATCAGATCCCTAAAAATAATATTTAGTGGCCGAATGGCCGTGAATCTTTTAGCCATGTACAGTTCCATTTAAATAAACAGAAACATGCAATTTATAGTGAAAGATAATAAAGCCAGCAAATGTCCCCATTACAATTATTTGTGCAGCTTACAGTGTTTTGAAATTTGTAAAGACTTGAAACTAGCTTTTTCATAAATTTTCCTTTTTAGGATTTAAGGGTATTTTATTTACATTGTGACACTGTTGTGGGTTTGGTCTTGAAATGAAGCTTTCCATTCAGGATATTATAAATACTAATTGTTTTTTTTATGTAAGCAGTTGTGTGTTTTCGGAAGCTGATTGTCATTTTAGGGATCAATTTACATGGCTCTATAGATTTAGCGGCACGGTGAGGCTACAGAGGGCTACCTCAGGAGGCAGAGTGAGCAAGACGGCCAAATAACTGTGGAGACAAATGTAATTCTTGATCTTTTGATTTGTCAAATCTGAATATTGGATTTATTGAATGTCTTGCAGTTGCGCAAACCCCTGAGGTCATTTTCTTCTTTGTTTTCCTAACTTTAAGGATTTATATGGCTCATTAATCATGCTTTAAAAGATGCCCCATGGTACAAAGTGTGTCTGTAGGCATTTACGCGATCCAAACTCAAAACACAGCTCAACTTGAACCACACAGATGTTATATTAGCAACAGCTAGCACTGCGGCGCACCGACTGATAATAGCTAAATCTGAGACCCTGATATACTTGTTTTGTTTTCATAGGTTACAGCTGACGTATTCCTATCATATAAAAAGGTTTTTTGGTCTCTTGATTTGTTTACTAATCTAATTTCTCAAATAGTATGATACATATAAATTTGACGCCTGGGCCGAAAGAGAGCTGTCTGAGTCAACATTTACACAAAGGTAGATTTTTCACAAGCATAAAAACACGTTTTAGGTACAGTAGGCTAGATTGAAGGCAGGGTCATTTGCAGTGTTGCTATTAAAATATAGTCATTTGCAGTTTTATTAAATACATGCACATTAATATAAATGAGCAATACAATAAATTACCAAACCTCACACATTTCCTTGTATAGCCAGTGTACATTAAACATTGCCAGTTATAATGAAGAATAGCTACTAAACGTTATATTATTTAGAAGTTCAAATCAATGTTTGTATTTTGAAAGACTATTTAAATGATTAAATTCTATTTTTTACTCAATTTACTGTTGTTTGTTGACACTGCTTTATTTTTGTGTGTGATATTGGCTGTAAATTTCTGTGTTTAGGCTTATTTTTTTTGTTTCATTTAGATAAAACAGTTTGATGTCCTTGTCTAAACATGTCCACATAAAAATCACTGTGAAAAAAGTGAGATCTTCCACTGTCTAACGCAACAGGGAGTGGATTATTGTAGGTGCTTTGTGTTGTGTAATAAATGGACACACCACCACCACATATCATTGGCCTCATCTCTCCCTGTGTATGTGTGTGTACTGTACTTGTGTGAATTAAAGGGGAGGGGGGTAGGCTACTTGAAACTTTGTACTTCATGGTTTATATTTTTGACCATGCATTGCACATATCACATTGATGAGGGACAGTCCTTTAAAGGTTTTGCAAAACTGGACACACTTCACATGCAGTTACTGAGCATAAGAAATCAATATTTAAGAATAAATAGAAATCCATGGATGGTATTTGATTGTATACTAGACCATACTACCATTATAAACAATGTGTCTCCATGTGTTTGTCTTCATTTTTGCAGCTCTGCATCACCTACAACATATGCTGTAGTGCTGCCAGTGTGCTTGAGCTAAGGAAATAGCTAGCAAGGTTTCGCAACTAGCACCAACTTGTTTTTGTTTTTTACATTTCCTTCACTTTCATATAGGATTCCATTATATTTAGTTAATAAATACAGGACTTGGCTAGTTAATGTCTGTATCATCCATCTGCAGCTTTAAAATGAAAAAACAACAACTTTATCTTCAGTCCAAGAATGCATCAATCAATCTCAAATACTACATTAGACATCTGACTTCTTGCTAGCAGATGGCGCAGTAAATAAAGATTTAGCAGGCCCAAATGTGGAAGCTAGATTAAGTCCCAACCATAGACCCAACAGTCAGACTCAATGTGGGACACCACTGTGGTAACGGTGTAGTTAAGTTAGAGTGACAGTTGCGTTAAATCAGGTTAAGGTGCGTCAGAGAGCAGAACCGCAAGAGACGACACACCAAATCCTCCAAACCTGACGCAAGGTTACTGCTTCACGCTAGCTACATAGCGAGCTGCAATGCTGTCCATCACAGCCACAGTCATCAGGAGCACCCCTGTCGTCCAGCGTCTGAGGCTTCTACATTCTTCTCCTATCGTCAAAATGCCAATTCAGGTAAGACCTGCATGAATAGCTAACGCTAGCTGGATGTGCTAACCTCACAATACTTGTGCAAAGAGGTCAAGGTGTCGTTGTATTTGACTGAGCATTAACTACACGGCTGCATCTTTAGCATTTCTCACTAGCGTAGCTCACCGTGCTAACTTCTGTCGAGAAGGATGTCATAATGTGTTTATCTCGACCGTCTCCGTGCTCTCGGTCCCCTACCTGCTTCTTCAACACCTGCACGTGAACGCAGCATAATGCAAACTGTAAATGATTACACTATCTTACACCTGGCTGGTCAAGGTGTCAGATAGTGACAGTAATTTCTATAATACTATATAATACCCTTAAGAGACTAGTATGGTTAACAGTAGACTTTCGTTGCCCTGTGTTTGTTTCCTAGTTTAAAATAGCGTCGGTAAAAAGTATGTGCGTATTATCTTATTCTACTTAACGTTAAGTTAACTTGCAGATAACTTAACTATCTGAGAGCTGCCTGTAATTAACAGCTGCCCGGCGTGGAAATGTTAAAGAGCGTAACATTGTTAAAGTATGGTGTGTGTATATAATTTGGCGCTTGTTGAAAAGGCCTTTGAACGTTCAGTGTGATAAAGTTAAGCTGTTAGTCGTTTACGCTCAATGTCAGGCTTAAATTTGGTAAATGCGTTCGGCCATTTTAACGAGAGACCTACATGTGTAAATGGTGATTTGTCGCCCTCCAGTGGCCACCAGCCCAAGTATGCGCCTATAACGATTAAAAATTTTTGTCCTGCCTAATTGGAGGCTGGTTTATTTTTATTAATCCCTTTAGTTATTAAGTTGAGAAATTGTGGAAATAAAATAAGTTCATTTCATCTTTCATAAGTTTTGTGCGTATCTTACCTATGCATTCAATAACTTTGAACATTGGTCTGCTTTCTACGAAAAGCATCAGAAAGACAGCTTTTCTACAAAACTGATCTCAGCAGCAATGCTGATTTTCATTATAAAAGTACTGTTATCCACAGAGTTAGCAGCATTTAAGAAGTCCAGACCATAAAGCAACGTCTTCAGGAGATATCTGTGTCACTAGCCTGCACTGTACATAGATACTGTGTATGCTGTGAAAGTCTGCTGACGCTTTCAGACCTAAGGAGTCAATAGATATCACCAGTGAGGAATGCAATTTGCCTGCAGGGGCAGACACAAAAATATTGGTAACCTTGGCTTTGGCAATTTGAGAAAGTGAGTTTACCTTCTTGAGCATTGTCTTCTCAATCCCAAACAGGTTGGTGAGCATCTCCCTGCAGTGGAGGTCCAGGAGGGGGAGCCAGGAAACAAGGTGGCTATGGATCAACTCTTCAAGGGGAAGAAGGGAGTCCTCTTCGCTGTACCTGGAGCTTTTACTCCTGGTTGCTCCAAGGTGGAGTCACCACTGTCACCTCTGTTTGCTCTGTCGTGTGCACAATCATCTTTGCATCAGCTGACGTGTTTCTCTTGTTGCTTCCAGACTCACCTCCCAGGTTTTGTGCAGCAGGCTGAAGACTTGAAGAGTAAAGGTATACAAGAGGTCGCTTGCATCTCTGTCAATGATGCATTTGTCATGGCTGCCTGGGGGAAGGAGCATGGAACAGACGGAAAGGTACGGACTACAATCTTTAATGAGAAATTTATGTGACAACCTGCGGCAAGTCAAAATGTGAGATGGAATTTGATCACATATTGCCATCATCTGTATTAATTACACATCTTAGTTGTTAAAGAGTTGTGGACAACTCCTGGCAGACATTTTGTTTGAATAAAGTAAATTGTGAATTCCCATTTGGTGATGATTTGACCAGTAGTTAATCCCAATAGTCTGCTAAACATTATTATAGTGCACTGGGTTGTGTGCACAATAGAGGCATTTTAGAAATAATCAACTAACTGCACACAACCTTTTGGTACCTCTGATAATAAGATGCTAACAGTGGAGGACGATGCAAAGATCTCACTCTTAATATACTGTAAGCTCAATGATATTATCAATTTCCTTAAACCGTAGTTTCTATGTGACCTTGCTTAAGAAGAGAGAGTTTGGTGACACAGCAGACATACTTAGAGATACAGGAAATGCACATGATATTTCAGATATTAACAATGTTGAACTCACTGCTACTTTCCTCTGCAGGTCAGAATGCTGGCTGATCCTACTGGAGCTTTTACAAAGGTAAAACTAAATGTCTGGTGTATATTTCTAAGTTCTATTTAACATGATTGTGTGAACCCATCTTTCTTTTTCTTTCTGCTTCTTAGGCAGTTGACCTGTTACTTGACAGTGATCAAATTGTGCAGGTACTTGGGAACAAGCGATCCAAGAGGTAATGATCCTTTTCACTCTTTCAGTTTTGCAGTAGCAGATTGATCGCATGTTTGTGGTCTTTTCTTCTTCTTCATCGCAGACTGTGTTGGAAATCACTTCCTCTTACTATAATAGTGCACGGTAGTAACTGCCCACCGTTTTCTCATAATGTTTGAATTAGCTAACAATACTGCTATGTAATGTGTTGTATTGTAGAGATGCAAAAATTGCAGACTTGTACGTGTCTGAAATCTTCATTAAGTGAGTCACCTCTTTTTTTGTTTGATTTTAAGAAACAGACACAGATAAATGCCATTGGACTCTCTTCATGGTGCAGAGGTCAATGTTAACATCAGTGTTTCTATAATAAATACTGAGAAAACCACAGACTAGACATGATTTGATTTCATGTTCAGGGTATATTTTCACTTCTTCAATCTATAAAATAGTTGAATCAGAGTCTGGCTTTGGTACATATGAAATTTACAGCTATAAATCAGTGTGTTCTTCATCCTGTGTTTCAGATATGCTATGTTGGTGGAAGATGGAATTGTGAAGAAGATCAATGTGGAGCCTGATGGCACCGGGCTGACCTGCAGCTTGGCTTCCAATGTTCTGTCTGATCTGTAGGCTTATTTAGAGCTTATTAAACCACACTGCAAATGCTGAGTTACTGTAAAAGATGCACTAACAAAACCCAGTACCTTCCTGTTCTTCCTTTTCCCAAAGACGGGTGCAAATGTCACATGTCAAAAACAGAGCCGGAAGGTAAATAATGCGCACAATTTTGACATGAATGGCAACCCAAAGGAACTTCATCATCCACTGTTGCTGGTTAGTAAATAAAATTCACGCTGAAAGCAATAATCACTGTTTTCCCTTACACACTTAGTTATTGTTGTTAGTGTGTGTGTGTGTGTGTGTGTGTGTGTGTGTGTGTGTTATATAATGAACGACGAAAGGACAAAATGCCCAGTACCATAATGTTTTTATGTTTACAGTACTTTGTCCTTCTTTGAGAGCACACACGCAGTGAGACGCAGATCTGTGCACGCTTCAATTTAAGTCCATAAAAATTCAAACATGCTCAACTCTTCTCCAGTACACCATGCTTCATTCACCATCGATGTTTCCAGTTTCTCTATATAATAAGAAATATATGATAACACATTGATCTGTTTGGTCTATATATCACCATGTATAGAAAACTTTACAGTCTCCTTCAAACAACAAAATCTCATTATCCTTAGTTCATGTCAAAACTTACATTACAATCAACTTTTTGCATCATGCCCTAACAAATACATTTTAAAAGAAAAAATTTAATCCATCTACAGGGGGAAAGTATTAATATCAATTTCTCAATATAAGTTAATCAATTATGTATTCTTTCAAACATTTATCTAAATTACTGGATCACTTCCATCACAAAGGGGTCATCATTGGCCATCTGAAAAAGGACTGACCTGGGGCAGACAAGCACATTGTATGAACTATATCCTTCACACCCATGCAAAGTGAAATGTGGAGAAGCATAATGCTTTATTTATTGATACAAACTATACCACTGACACTATATCAGTGTCACCACATAACAAGGTCCTCTGAAGGTAGGCACCACACATATACTGAAATGTTCATTGAGTCATTTACAAATTTGATGTATTTAACTTCTGAAGGCTATAAACCAATCTTTGATACTTTTGATGTTCAATAGAAAAAAGCTAAGACTTAAGATAATGGTTTTCATGTAAATCAGATCTCATTTGATAGTTGTGTGGCCAGGAAAGATATACAAAAAAGTATGCCCCTGAAAATGATTTTCACACATAACCATGCAAAATTGGGGTTCTTATGAGACCATGATATAGATACTGAGCTTCCAAAAATGGAAAGTGTGGGTTGAAGGCTGTTACTCAGCTTTAGCTACTGTATATGTAAATCCAAAGAATTTATTTATTTAAAATCAAGGGCATATATTTAAATCCTTAACATCCCAGCCAGCCTGGACCCTAACCAGTCCAGAGCCAACAGATCTCCACTGCCCTCCACTTCGCTCACTGTTGTGTTTATGATACCATCATCACATCATCAGCTGGATAAACAAACAACGATGAGATGTTATATTGGGAGGAAATTAACAATCTTGGGTGGTGCACAGAAACCAACCGACTGCACTATGACTTGCATATTACACTGATATTGCTCAAACAGAATTAAATATGTGTGTATATGTGTATATATAGTACTTTATATGCCTATACCATCCTTGTAAATTTAGTGTGTATTTCTGTCTTCGGTGCTACTTTTATATACTTTGTTCTATTTTATTGTTGCACTGTATTGTAATTTGAAATATTTTAATATTTGTTCCTACATTTTCTGTCATTACCTCAATCAATGCATCCATGAATAGAAGTCACTGTTCAAACGGGTGACCTGTTTATCCTGCGAGTCCACAATCAGGGGAAACCACCCCATGACGTACAGTCTTTGGGCGTAACGGCGCACGAGCAGACGCATTGTAAGGGCAGTAGCAAGAAGAGTAGCCTAATTTAAAATGCAAAGAGAAATAGTTGGGGAAGATTTTTTGAAACACTGGGCCCCGAAACCCCCCTAAGACACTTTTGGTCAGCTGTTCGTAGAATGTCAGGTCTTTATAAGAGGAAACCAATTCCGGTTTTACAGAAAGGTGGGGTGGAAGCTATAACCAACAGAGACAAAGCTGACATGTTTGTTGAGGTTTTTCAATCAGTGCGTAGTTATAGAAATTTAGGAATAGAGAGTAGTGTGAAAAGGACTCATCTGTTGTCAGTTAATCAGTGGAAGCTGATTAGCGAGCTGAGCTCAGCGGCAAAGTCTGCATTTTTATTATATTTGGCTACAAGAGAAAGGTACCTGATTTTGGATTATATATGTATGGTTCCCCCCTAGAGACAGTAAAAGATTTCAAATTTTGGCGTGTTTGGTTTGAAGAACAAATGACTCTGTTAATGTTGGGAACATTTTGTCAGAATGTGATAAGGTGTTAAGCATCATGAGAAGTCTGGGGGGATGTGACTGGAGGGCGGAGAGGGGATCCATGCATTTAGTATATCTGGCAACGATGAGAGCTTTAATTGATTATGGTTGCTTTGTTCATGACTGCTGCCCAGTTGGTGCCAAGGAAGTTACTCTGCAGGCTATATGCACTGAGACTCTGTTGTGGAGCTTTCAGGACATCTCCAATGCCTGCTCTGCTCATTGAAATGGTTGAAATGCCCTTATGTTTAAGGCGCATTAAGTTGGGACTGCAGATGGGTAAAATTGAGTGCATCTAGTTTAGCACTCCCAGCTATGACAAGAGAATTGAGAAAGAAAACACAGCACTCTACACAATTCGACTACCTATTCCTTATTTGTTAATAAAAGAACTAATATTGATTTAACTTATTTACTTTTTAAGAATAGAATAAACATGTGATTGCTTTGAAATTTAAACAATATCTGAACAGTGGTATGGGATCATACCTGAAAATTTTATATCTGGTGCCAGGGAACTAGAGAGTGGGAGAGCAGGTTTTGGGGTGTATATAGCTCAAGTGGACCTTAGGATCAGAGAATTACAAACGGAAGTTCTGTCATTACAACAGAGCTACTGGCAATTCTTTGGGCTCTGTGGTGGATTGAGGACGTGAAAATAAGTGAAGCCTTAATCTGCTCTGACTGTGCAGCTTCCCTGATGGCCTTGAAAGGAGGTAAAGCAAAAGCCCGTCCTGATATCATAAATGAAATTCTAGTTGTATTATTTAGAATTAGAGAGATTGGTGGCAATGTTCTGCTGAGTTCCTGGCCATGCTGCAGTTGAAGGAAATGAAATAGCAGACTGTATAGCAAAATCAAGCCTAAAGTTAGAGAGATATAAATATTATTGGGAAGAGTGGGACTAAAAAAAAAATTAAACAGGGTGTTGACAGAAAATGGCAAATATTATGGGAAAATGAGACCATGGGGAGACATTATTACTCTTTACAATCTCAGATTAAAAAACAGTCATCATTATGGACCCAGAAAAGATTTTGTTAAAATCTGTAGGTTGAGACTTGGGCATTGTGGGTTGAATCAGTCTTTATATATTATAGGAAAGCTTCCTAATGGGCTTTGTGAGTGTGGAATCTTCGATACAGTTAAACATGTTTTCCTGAAATGTAGCAAATATAGAAAGGAGCATCTTATAATAGAGATTATCAGATTTGGGAGTTTGGTTATTTAGTTAAATCTATATCAGGTCAAAATGAGAACCACCCCATGATTGTTTAAGTAGTAGCCTATTACAGTCGTTAGACGATGCAAGGTTATATATGAAAATTTGATGCAATAATAGTTATAGTTGACTTCCTGGGGGGGCAGTAATACTCCTAGAAGCGTCTACACTGCCGTAAATCCATTTGAAGAAGAAGAAGACAAAGAAGCAGGCGCGTTGCATTGTGGTCGCTGGGGCGCCAGGACAGAAACAGAAGCTACGGTGATATTCAGCCTGGACAGGACATTAACGGGTAAGTTAATACTCCATAGTTTATTAGCCATAATTATTGTGTGGCTGCCATTTGCTATGTCGGAAGAAAATACAGTAGCGTGAGACAGCAGCAAGCGGTAAAGTTAGAGTAACTAGCTAGCTACCGAAGCTACGTAGCTTTATGTTACATTGAAGGCGCCTAAAGTCTGAGCTACTAACGTTAACTTACTCTCTAGCTTCACAGCTATAACTTTGATGACTGTGGTACCGCGGAGATCGTTTAAGGCTCTGGTAGTATTTATAAAAAGCGACCAGACTCTGCTAATATACTACAGTTGCGATTTGTAGGGAAAGAGACGCAATCTGAAGCTAGTGAACGTTTAACTCGCTGTGCTAAAGTTGTTAGCGCTCCAGTGTATTGCGCGCGCAATTCAGCACTGGATTGTATTGTTGCTAGTTAGTAAAATTGTTTTAATTAATGTAAACAAATGCATGGTGAACCAGTCCAGGCAAACATAACTTAAATAATTAGGTTGTTATTAGTGAAGCCTTTTGCAGTGTCGCTCGTGCGCTGTTGTCAAGCTCAGTGTCTAACGACGCTGAAGTAAGTTAGCCTCTGATTCAGCAGTTATGGGGAAACTTGGTGAGCGACCGATCCTCCGTTGCACATCGTACTGTTGTGAAAGGAGTGTTAGGCAAAGCCATAACGCTTTTTTCCCGCATGTAAGTTAGACTACATTAGATCAGGTCCAGAGCCAAAACCACTATGCTCAGAGATGTCAAATCTGGACTAGATTATCCCGGAGAGGTTTCTTTAAAATTGTCTCAGATTTGTGAAAGCTGCGACTTCAGCGTTGTTAAGCAACGGGCCATTGATACCACTGAACAATAACTTTACACCATCAGTGTGAACCACACATAGACTTTACTTGAGCTACTCATTTTAACATTTTGCAGTGAAATGCAGAGTTGCTATCTGTTACGTTACAAGAAGCAGACACAGTGGGCATTTTACAAGCACATTGAACACACTAGTGCAGATGCCATTCTTAGCTGCCACAGTCTGTTTCGTTTTCATAGGATACATCATTAACACGCCTCCTCCACATACGGTGCATCTGCTGCTGGGAATGTAATCGTGGGCAGAAAAATCCAGAAGACCAGTTCTGTGTCTTTTAGGCAACTTCATAAAACATACCAAGAAAAGGCAATTGACCAGATACATGCAGGGAGAGGGAGGGAGATTTAAAAAAAAAAATTAACACACACAAACGTATTTACTTTTTTATTTATTTGCTGAACCATATAAATTGAATTCACAACACACACATGCTTTACTGTTGTATGTATGTATTTTTTTATTTATCTTTAAAAAAAATTTTTATTTTATTTTAACACGACAAACACACACTTTTACTGTTTTATTTAATGAACTGTATGGAATGATGATCTTTTGTCTTACATTTTAAGCTTTGGCAATATGGTTGTTTGACATTCATGCCAATAAAGCTGTCTTGTACCACTTTGTAGTCCTCTAGTTTTGTTACAATAAAACTGGTCAATGCTCCTAAACTGATAACAGATAAGGCGTCTGTAGTGAAGTGAAAATGGCCTTCGAACAGACCTGGCAGACAATCATCAGGGAAGATACAGTGTCCTCTGATGTCTGTTGGTTGCAGACTTTTTTGAAACCAAATATTAAACAAGGTGATTTAGTTTAAGTTAAGCTTTCCAATTACTGTGTACAAAACGGCTAAAATTACTACACAGATCATCTGACGTGGACAAAAATACTTTCAACTCAAAGTGGAGAGTCAAAAGTTCAGCCCTCTAGTCTGTCTTGAAAATAATTGCACACAAATAATGAAGACAAAATGATTTGACATGTAAATGATTGGTTTGCATATCCCTGAATTTTACAATGTTTTAATTTCCTCTGTGGTCCTTATGTTACAGTTCAGTAGTTGGTGATCAGTGACCACACACAAAGCGGCCATGTCGTCGACATCCCAAAAACATAAAGATTTTGTGGCCGAACCCATGGGCGAGAAGTCTGTGATGGCTCTTGCAGGCATTGGAGAGGTCCTTGGAAGAAGACTGGAGGAGAAAGGTTTTGACAAGGTGATGTACTCGTGTATGCAGTTTTACATTTTTAAGTGAACATCGGCTACTTGACAACATGGTCGTTGATATGGGAAAACACTTGCACTCCTGTCTTAATTTGTTTTTTTGTTGTGTGTTCATCTTCAACTCCACAGGCGTACGTTGTCCTCGGGCAGTTTCTAGTGCTAAAGAAAGACGAGGAACTTTTCCGGGACTGGCTGAAGGACACTTGCAGCGCAAATACCAAACAACAAGGTGACTGCTATGGCTGTCTTAAAGAATGGTGTGACGCCTTCCTATAAAGCATTCAGTCATTGTTTTCTACTTCTGAAGTCCAATCTGTACATTACCTCTTCAGTGATCTTGATTCAATTTGGCTACACCATATGATGAACTGACATTGTACACATGAATGAGTTTTTTTAACTTGTTTTTAATTGTTTTGAATGTTTTGAGCCCAAAATAGAATTCACACACGCCCTCGTCATGTCAGTCTAAATAGTTGCCAACTCTTTCTCTCTTTTAAATTGTTGGTAAACTAGTAGGATGGCTGGGTAATCCTTCTGCCTGTAACATCTGCTCACTGTCAGTAGCCTTTTTTACTGTGGACATTTTGACTTGACCTAGTAGTAAAAGAATACTTGTTCCTAATAACATTAATGATGGCTCTTTGCTATATAGGTTTTGCAGAAAGTTGTCACTGTGCCTCCCAACACATCAGCCGGGCTTTGACACAGGGACACGTACATGTAATGCAGTCTTGTTTTAGTATGCCTGTGTTTAACAAGTCAAAATGTCTATAGAGAAGGTTTAGACTGTCTATTTTCCAGTTTTAAGAAGAAAACTGCTCATGGTCGTAATATTCAGATTGACCTAGATCATTGCAATGCTGCATATACTTTCTGTTGAGGTTTGAATTTTAAATGTTTGATTCATCCATTGTTGGTCATGTACTGATATTTTACCTTTTTATAAGCTAAACATGACTAGTTTGTTCTATGTTTAAACCTTCTAACACCAAAAAATTGTATGTTTCAAGTCAGCGCTAGTTTTCCAGACTAATATTTGTACCCACATTCAACTCTTGGGCTTCTTCGCCTGTTGTTTTTTAAAAGTCATGGGAAAGTTGATGGAAGCTGTACTTGTTTTTTGTTTTGTTTTGTTAAATACCACAGCCTATCACAGTTTAGTATCATGTACGTCCACCAACAATATTTAAAGAATTTCTTGAAGAGGTGGATTGTCGGTTTTGAAGTGGCTTGCAGAGGATGTAACTGATTTTTATGTGACACACAAAAACATAACCTCAAAACTAATGTGACACTGGTCTTAGCAGAGCGCTTTTTTTAAATTACAAAACTTAACTTTTGAACCTGCAAATAAACAAGCGGCACAGCCAGACCCCCACATCTGGTCTGTTCAAAGCAGTTTGAACCTGAAGATGGAAAATGTATATAAATAAAGAACAAACTCAAACACTGTCAAACACGTGTCGGTCTATTGCTGATGAGTGGGCTGCAGCCTTTACAGTAAAAAAAAATGTGTCTACTAGATTAGCCAGACAATGCTTAGATTAATATGACTTGGCCTTTGTGCTTAAAAGGCTCCCATGATGTAAAGTTTCTTTTTGATTAAACTGAGTTATAAGGCAACCATCTAAAAAAAAAAACAATAACCAATGATGCAGTAAATCCATCAGCGCCCTGTTCATTAACATTTAAGAGTATTTGATATGCTGTACTTGTACGATGGAATGTATTTGAAGCTTCAGTAGAAGTTCATATCATCAAATCATAAACCCAACAAGAGTGAGCCAAAGCCCATCCAGTCTATTACCTGACTTTGTCTTTTACGTCTATACAGGAAAAATTAAATCACTGATCTTAAGTATCCACTTGCTTTAGATGAAGCTGTGCCACCTACAGTGTATATTTTTGTAACACCAACAACTGTTGTTTAGGTTAGGTCTTGGCTGAGCTTGATATTAACGTTGACTTTCTTTCTAAACATGAGATGCCTTTAATGCGTGCTAGATTTAATATTTTATTTAGTTAGACAAACTATAAAATGTGCAGTAGTGCATGTCCAGGCGGTGTCATGTAATCTTCCACACATCACCAGCTGTTTGAAGATGTGCTTTTTGTCGGCTGATGCTTTGTCATTTGACTGTAAAAACCCTTCAGTTTTTATATTGCTGTGTATTATAAAAATAAAAGGTAAAGTACCAGATTTGGACATGCATGGTTCTGTTTTTTACACGTTCATTAAAGATTCTTTTTAAATCAAATAAAATCACAAATCAGGGAAACCCTTTTGATAACAGGAGGTTTTTATTCCACGGTTACTTTTTTTTGCCAAAGCTCCAAATTTGACATTTGCAAGACATTGAAATGCACTGATTCATTTTTTATTAAATGGCCCAGAGCAGGGGTTTCCAAAATTTTCACCATGTGGAAGATGCCATGGAGCTCAGGTGATGTGATCGTGTCTGAGGGAACTCTAAATAAGAACAGTTTTCTCTGTTTTGAGAATATGATTTAACAGCACTAAACCATGGCCTGTACAGTAGATGACGAACCTTGGAGGAAGTGGCACCTTTTTAACTGAAATAGGAATTCCCGAGTCATTCACATCTGTGTTCATTTCACATGAGTGTGTAGATGGCGTTCCTTGATTTCCTGGAAACCCCCTCTGCTCTGGAGAACCTCTCAGACCTGATTGGTTAAACTGACGATGCACACCTGTCTTTAAAAGTACATTATAACTGCTGTGTTTATCTTTTTGCTTTTAAGAAAGAGAAATACTTTCACGTGACAGACTCACAATAATCGATTAGCTGATTCTGCTTTTAATGGCTTAGATCACATATTGAACGTCCATAACCCCTGGAATGTTTTTTTTGGGTCTGTGTGCTATTGAAATATAAAATCTTGATTTGACGGCGATCAGATGCTCAGAATTGTTGCTTAAGTTTCACAGTAGCACCTATGCGCGCGCTCACACACACACACACACGTCCACATCCACACTACAGCAACAGTATAGAAATGAGCTAAATACGAAAATCTTAATAAAACCTTGAAATAAATTGATCCATTGATGAAAACTCACTCATAAACAGCTGTTGTCGTTGGTAGACACAAGTAACTGCCAAAGCAGAGGAAACATCGAGGTGAATGAAGGATACAAAATATATTGACGGGAGATGGGATGCAGCTCTAAAGGGCAATCTAAAATGTTGACTGAGAAAACATTCTGTGTGACGATTTAAAGCATTTCTAATCCGAAGAAGGTATTACCTCCACCTATCACCAAATGGAAACGGCGTCAGTTATGGGAGATGGCATACTTACCTAACATAGGCTTTGTCTTTTTGGACAATTTATATGGGGAGGACTAACAGCGCTGACCTATCAGAGCAGCGTCCGAGACATGTAGCACCACCATAATCCAACGACCTAATGTGGGAATTTAGCCTCCCAGTTCAAAGTGGCAGGTGTTCCTGTGACTGGTGGAGCCTGTGAAGACACTTGATGCTCAGTGTTTCCTTTTTGGCAGTTACCTGTAATATATATGAGCATGAAATGTCCATGTTTTCAACCAGATGGTAGCAGTGTTTGGACATCTAGTGTTGATTTTGATAGTGATAACTCTTGACTACTGATTGATTGAATGTTACGGTTTTGTTTTAAATTCCTTCCTTCCTCATCTTAACACTGAGTCATACGTTAGCAGTTAAAGACTTTAGTTCTAGACATTTTGGGGTTGATTATGCACTGTACATCGGCAGCGTTAATGCAAGGTTACTATAGTACATGGGTGTCTTATTTAGATTGGAAGTACATGTACACGCTGTATACACATGTACATATTGTACAGTTGTACTTTTAATCACAACAATCCCTGATTGGTCTCAAAGCAAAGCGCAGAAGAATTTCTTCTCCCTGAAGGGGTTCTCTGAGGTGGGCACGGGGCTGATCAGGGGGTCGTCGCAGGAGTGAGCGTCGCAGTACGCCATCAGGTCTGCCGCTGCCTTTGAAACCTGGAGGTGATAGACAGATTTAGGGCGGAGCTCATGAGCAAGATTACATTACACTGTTTTCAACCACTTGTTCATTACACACATAAAGTGAAAGTAAAAGTTTGTCCTTTGATTTCAATAATCAATCAGTCTCATTAATCTATCAAGTCTCCTGTCAGAGGCCGTGGTTCATTTAGAGACCAGAAGAAGTTAAAGCCCTCCACTCTTTCCCCCATTTAAATGAGGACGATTATTCATAGAGATTTCTTTAGAGATAGAGGTTCTTTGGAAATTACATAATGCATTGTTAATACTGTTTAATGTTTGTTTTTCATGTCTACTTTCTAAGGTGTTGTAAAGTTGTTCATTTAACTCCAGAATATAAGCAAACAGTGTATACAGGGTCATACAGATACACTCATCAAGATCATTGTATTGTCTTAGAACTCTGGTAGGGATGGGTATATATATTGTGTGTAGTCGTAATGATATTTCATATATATATAATATTCTCCATTTACAAGCTCTCAGCAGATCATTTTAGCGTCTCTGACACAGCTCACATTTGGCTAAAGAAGACTCGATATAAACAATATACATCAGTCAAAACCTAGAAGTGACTTGCATCAAATGTTCCTTGCTCTTCCAAAGCTGGAAAAAATTGAAAAAATTAATTTTAAGAATTTTGAATGTGTCTGGGCAGCAAATGCAAATGAGTTTAGTATATCGCTATAAATAATACTAACAGGAATATGGCAGCGAACACAGGAGTAATACAACATGAGCCCAAAAAATAGAGGATGAAACAATACAGAATCAATAACCTTAGAAAAACGTATGGGAATCAGGACATAAATATTTTGATTAACAATTTATTGTTTTTATTGCTTTATTAAATGTGGAGTTTTGTATGAAATGTGTGAATATAAAAATAGAATCTAATCTATCCAAATTCATTTAGTCCTAGAATACGTCTAAATGTTCTTTATGGATTTAAAAGGATTTAAATGTTCACGTCAAATAGCTAAATGTGTATCCACTAGGACGCACTGCTTCTTCACTGCAGATGCTTTGCAAAAAAGAGACTTCATCGTTGTGAAATCTTGCTATAAAGTTGTGCTTTCTCAGAGGTGAGAGCAGCTAAAATCTGTCTCTAAAGCATGATATTATCAGTGTTACACAAAAGGTTGTCCCCTACTTGATTTTTACACTGATGGATTGTTCTTTTTAAAGAGGCAAGGTGCCTCTGCAAGGTGTTTTTGATGTCATTGGGAACATGACAGAAGCCAACACCATTTGGAAACTCTCCAATAGGAAGCATTGACTTAAAGTGCATTTGAGAAGGTCACTGGCGCTTCTCTTCACCTGTTTGTCAAAATTCTTCAGTGCTGCCCTTTATATGTATGAAACAGGATCAATTACAAAACCTAACTAATCTGAGGGCAGGCTTTTTTTGTGCAGCAGTATTTAATACCAATGTTTTGCCATGACTCATGATTTGTATGGACATGTCCTTGACCTACTGCGACAGTGTAATATCTGGACTTCTAAATATCTAAAAAAGCAGGATTTTCTTTATCTTTTTATAAAGTCAAATTAAGATTAAAAAAAATATTATTCAGGATTGACAATGCTGTTTAATCAACTGTGTCGTTTTACTCGTCACTTCTATTCCTGCCGTTAGTGTGTTTTAACTCATTACACATTACACATGTTACAGCCTGTCTTACCTTTATCCTGCAGAAACTAGCCTCTATCTTCAGTTGTTCCACCAGCTTCCTGGCTTGACCGACACTCATGGTGCTGTTCACTGGGGTGTCTCCTTTCATCCTAGCCACAAACACAGCAACAATTAGGCTTCGTGGATTTCATTTGGATGGAAAAACATTCTGTAAAATTGTTGATCCAGTAATCCTACAAACACAGTACTTGTCTTTGACTAAATGTATTTCGAAAATAGGCTGCAATAAGTTGAAATTTCTTGTTCACACAGCTAGGTTTATTGATAGCAAAATTAGCTTTTTGGTACCCCATTCTATGTGGCTGATCAAATTTAACTATATGTGTGAACTAAGAGTTTTAAGACGCTTACGTTATATAGCACTAATATGTAATATATGATAAAAAAACTACGCTCAAGTTATAGTATTTATTGCTTTAAAAAAAATTTTTTTTTGCAGCTTTGGTTGCAAAGCAAGCATGAAACCAATCAGTGTAAGTGTAAATATCAATTAATATTGTGTTGTAGAAGTGGCACATCTGCTACATTATGTCATCTTTCATGGTAATATAACTGTGATAACAAAAGCATCCAGTATATATTTTATCAAATGCAAACGAAAGCATATAAACTGGGCCAACTGGTCAGATTTATTCACCGTGGCCCACAGATTCTCCCACTACGAGCAAGAAATATCAAATTCAGAATGAAATAAGCACTGCAGCCATACAGACATTCATGAAACGATGAATAAATATGCATATGAATCAATTGTAACACAGATGGAAAAGGAATCAAGAAGGATGGATTGTCAACAGGGGGAAAAAGCAGAGCAGCAAAGCAGCGAATCTATTAGAACCATTCTGGACCTTTCCCCATTGTCTTTTCCCTTCTCCCTGCATCCACCCCCTTTTCTCCTTACCCGTATTATATTCCTCTTCAGGTGCAATCTTCCCCCCTCTTCTCTCTCCTTTTTTTCTTTCTTTATCTGCCTCTCTGTGTCCCTCTGTCAGCTTACGTTAGGTGGTATCAGTGTAGCTGGACCCCACCCCTCACAGACAACAGCCTGTATGGTACCCTGCTCTGTACAGTCCAGTGCACTGCAATTCTGCCACAATGAGCACTAGATTTGTGGTGGATGGATGGGATCAACCCCTCTGCAGTGAATGGTACTTGCCAGACAGAGGGAGGGGGAAGCCATTGGTGAAGATTTTCTGATGAGGGGTGGATTGTACCATATCTGTGCCTAGGTAATTGGGGCCAACTGGAATGTCTCAGGTTTCGATCTCTGACATGGAGTATGATGGTCTATGTGGTGTGTGTTTTTTTTTTTTAGTGTTAAAAGGTTATAAACAGCTTGGGATGTGAACTCTAGAGGTATGAATCATTATGCGCCTCTGTGCCTTTTGTGATGCCCACCCTCTCCTCTGTTGCCATGGGGACTGCTGCAGTCTGGTTAAGTGGTTTACATCACCGTTTAATGGTCAAATTTCTGCTGATATTTAAATGTGGCTGTTTGTGTGCTACACTTGACATTTCATGTTTCTTTATAAAATAAAGAAACATGAAATGTCAGGGAGGGGAAAGCAGACTATCAATAGGCCTAATTGTTTCTATCCTGGCTCTTGCTCTCAGACCAAAGACCCTGTGGAGGAAAGAGCTCCATTAGCACCACGCCTATAGCAGCTGTTTCTACGTCCTACCGCTATTTGAGAGAACAGCAACCTTTGTGTGCATGTAACGTTTAAATAAACCGTGTTTTACAAAAGTGCATTGCAGTAAATCGGATGCAATCTTCAGCGTCGTGGATTTTTCAGAGGATACTCGAGCAGACAGGCTGGCAACCGGCAACTGTCTCGAAACCTGACCGACGCCATATTTGCTAAGCTAGTATCTCCTGGGCTGTAATGGCGCGTTGATTTTGTCCCTCACTTCTGTTTTTCGGCGGTGTGCAATCTTGTTGTGTTACTGTCTCTTGTACCGATGAGGCAGTTTCGCGTTCTTGCTAATTTGTCCGTCGTGCTTGCGGTCGTGAAAGCCTCACTAGCTCGCTAGGGGAAGTCACATATAATGCGATACTAAATAAAATGTTTGAATGTACAGTTGTGGCTTTGTGTTTGCTGGAGAGTTTTACTGAGCACTTTGTATACACTGAAAGCAACATCTGTTGTTGTTTTCTTTTTTGTTTTTGTGAAATTTGACATTATCCTAGAGTTAAATAACAAGAAGAATTTACTAAACGCATGACTAGGTGTTAACAAATGTAGACTATAGGCCCACGGATAGCCGTTATTTGCTTAATTCATTTCTTTATGCCTCTTTTCTTTTGAATATCTCTAATGCTGGCTATAGCTGATCTCACCACAGCTGACCAGTTCTTGTTTGTAATGTCCAGTAATATAACTCCTAAGAATTTAACAAGAATATGTAAAAAAAAAAAAAAGTCTAAAGAGAGAAGAGAGAGTAAAGGAAAAACATGCATTTTATTTTTGCATGTTAGAAGGGCTAATGAAGGGACTTTCTTCTGGGAAATTGTATTGTTATATAAAAACTTTCCCAGTCTTGTGTAAACATCAGAGAGCAAAAAAAATTACTCTTTATTTGATCTCAGTATTTTGCTTTTTATTGAATGAATGACTGATTTTAGTCTTGATTTCCCTGTCAGGGATTGCAGATGAACTTCATGTGGACAGAGTAAACAGGAGTATGTTTGGATTTATAAGCTGCAGCTGCAGTTTAGGGACTCCATCTGCTGGATGATGCTGGCAGGTTTGACTGCGTAACTGATTTATAAACCAGCCTGTTGATACAGTATGTGAACCCCTGGCCTTTTTTTGAAGTAAACAGTCAAATCAAATGATCCAAATTCTAATTATAAATTAGTTTACAGTTACAGTAGACAGTAATACATTAAGGAAGGTAATCATGTATAAAGTAGAACTCCTGTGAATCATATGAACCTCACCTTCTGCCATTGAGATGAAACGTCTCATTCATTTTAAACCATGGTGAACTATCTCTACCAGGTTCAAGCACTAAACAGGCTTTTCAGAAAAAAGTGTCAAAGTTAGGCAGCATTTATCTTAATAATACTGTCTTGATATTTTGACCAGTTCAAGTGATTAACCAGACAGTGCACTTTGAAAAAGTGATTTTTTTACAAACCACGTGCAGATTGATGTTGAGGCACAACAATGTATTTGGGAGGAAGTTACAACCACATTGCACCTGCAATATTTTGATCATGGATCATAACCAAGGAGCACAAAATGGATCTCTATCTGTAAGAGACTATTCACTTTCATAGGTATTGATATTTTAATGAAAAATATTGATAACAAATGCAATTAAACTGCGCAGGTATAATTATTCATGGCTGCAGTAATGCCAGTAATACTGTTATTCATTATACTTGTGCTTTTCCTGCATTGATATTTCAAATGTCTGCTGAAAAAACACAGGAAACAGAAATACCATGGCTAGAACCACCTTGAGATTGACAGCTTTTTCATATGGAGCTGTCTTCACTGTGTTGGAGGTTACAGATCTGGAGACTGCTAGGCTCGCTGAACTCTTGATTCCCCTGCACTCTACGGTAACAGTAAGACTCTACTGATGAGCAAACACCATATTTTTAAACATCAATGCTCTAATATTGATACTATTACACAATTTTTGTTTGTATTTGGTAAAAAACTAACAATTGATTAGAACAGTCAAATAAGATTTGAAAATATCAATTTACCAGGTAAGACAGTCTCTTCCAATGCTTGTTGTTGTGTTTTAACACACTATAATGTAGCTGTAAGCAGATATAAAGTAGTATAGGTTGTAATTATTAAGTGTTTATTAATAATGGATCTCTCGACAGCTATAATGCTCTTTATGAAAAATCAAGTGTATAAATGTTTGATGAATGTTTAATAACACAATACAACATATAATCATATAATGACATGTCATCAGGAGTTATAAAATATATAAATATAAACAGTTTGACAAAAAAACAACATCTTAACTCATGGTTCACTTGGTTGCTTTTCCTGGAGCTTTCAACCACATCTCACAGTCCTCCTCCTCATGATACAGTTTGCTCTCTTGTCACAGTTGAAAGCTCGGGAAAAAGCAAGTAAGTGGACCATAAGTTACTTTTTTTGGGTCAAACTAGCGTTTCCAATGTCAAGAATGTTAAACCTACCTATTAATCATTTTCACAGGTGTATAAACTGTTGATGAATATTTTACTAACTAAAAAAACGAAAACTTACTGAAACAATGCAAGTCTCTTAAAATTATTCAACGATACATTGATTACTACTCAAGACATATCAGATGATTGTGAATATGTTATGCTGTTTTATTAAGCATTAATTTCCTGTTAACACATCAGTGGTTGATCTAATAGCCAATTAAAAATGTCTTAATTTCTACTTCCAACTAAGATATAGTGTGTTATAAAGCAAATGCCGATGGTTTATATGCTGAGATATTGATATGGCTTGCAGAGAGGTAAATGCTCTCCCTTTTGTGCATGTACCATATCCCTATATATCAGTTTCTAATTGAGATGAAGGCAGATCCCAGAAAAATAACTCTTTTTGAATAGCAGCTATCCACTGTCACAGGTTTTCAGGATGTTTTGTCATGTATTCTTGATCTACTGCAGCAAATTCCAAACAGGTTTCAGGCAACACATCTACAGTTTAAACCCACATTTTAATTAAGCGGGGACTTGGCAACATTGCTTGTTTTATTAGAACCAGCTTTAATCCTTATGAACCATTTTTTCTGTCCTGGCACAAATTCCGAAAAACAGTGACAGCAGGTACAAACCAGTGCTTGACTGCAAGGGCTGTGTCTGAAACGCTGACCAGATGGTCTACGAGAGATCCCGTTTCATCTCTGCAGGATATGCTCTGTTGTAATTAGTGTGGGCGCATGCCACCCATCAAATAAGCCATTTAATAATACGCTGCCATAATGATGATAATGTCACAGTTAAAAGTGTATATGGTGAAGCAATGCACAAGTGAGCAATAGAAACTTATTTATTTGATAGATAGAAGAAAAGTAAACTTTAAATTTCTTTCCAAAATAAGAGTGCAAAATGCTTAACATATGTTTTGGGCAAAGAACATAGTTTGAATTACAATGATTACCTCACTTGTGTGTTTAATTATCTCTTATGCTATAAATATGACAATTAATTAACTTAATTAATTAAGTTGAACTTAATTACTGTTGTGGCACACTGGAGCCTTCCAGCTTGGAGACCTCAAAGCTGAGAAACAGCTTTTCTCACTTGATTTACTGAAGTTTTAGTCTGTGTCGCAAATGTGTACAGTTAGGAACATCTGACTGATTTTAGTGAGTTTGATTTGACTCAAAATAAATTCAGAATGAGTCTGACATAAAACGTGCATGACTCGGTCAATGTATTGTTGACATCTTGATTTGAATCCACGCAGCAGATAGTGCAGTCCTCTGCCTCGAGGTTGATGTCCGTATTGAAACAATGTTGGTGAATGATTTTCATTTCAACCCATTTGGGCCATTGATTCCATGATTGGACCCAATGGCTAACAGACACTGAAATGCTGGAAGTGTTTCAATGATATTGAAGAACAAAATGCGAGATGCATTATCTGTGTGACTCTGAGCGTTAATGTCTCATGACTCTGGGCTTTTTAACACAGCTGATGCATCTGATGTTCTCCACAATTGAACTTGGCCTATGCAGCCATAACCACAGTAAAAACTTTCCATTATCATAACCATTCAGTGTACTGATGACGACTGATGTCTTTTTTTTATACATGCTAAGTGGTGAATAAATAATGTATATAAGAGTACCATCTACTTTTCTCTCCGGGTGCTCCGGCTTCCTCCCACCATCCAAAGACATGCAGGCTAGGTTGATTGGTGTCTCCAAAATTGTCCTTACGTGTGAATGTGAATGTGAGTGTGATTTGTTTTTTGTCTATGTGTGGCCCTGCGATGGACTGGTGACCTGTCCAGGGTGTACCCTGCCTTTCGCCCAATGTCAGCTGGGATAGGTTCCTGCCCCCCCGCAACCCTGTACGCAGGATAAGCAGTTGACGATGGATGGATGGACATTCAGGATCTCCACTGACTTATATTTCAGCAATTGTGATTTATTTAATGTCATCGCTGCAGCTTGCAGATGTGTTAAGGGGTGACTTTATAGATACATACATTAAAGGTAAACATACATAAGGTTTCTTTCTCATGTTGAAAATCATCAACATCCAGGCAGCATTACTTTTCTTTCATTGTACGTGCTGACTATAGCTACCTGTGACTCATTTGCTAGGCTAACGTTGCATATCTGACAAAAAAAGATTGTGCCAGTGTACTTAGACACAGTGGTGCTTTGAGCTAAATGCTAATGTCAGCATGCTAACATGCTCACAATGACAATCCCAACATCCTGTGGTTTAGCAGGTGATATTTACCCTCTTCATCATCTTGGTTTAGTGTGTTAGGGTATGAGGTGTTGATGGTGCATAGATAGATAAGATTTTGACATGTATAGCAATTGTAAGTCGTTTTGGATAAAAGCGTCAGCTAAATGTGTGTTAGCATGCTGATTAGCGCTACCAGTACTGGTATGATTTTAAAGAGAATCAAATTTTGATCCCTAGATGAAAAGTGAAGGGATCGTAGAAGTTATTACAGTTCACCCTGAGGGGAACATGAATGTTTGTACCAAATTTTATGGCAATCCATCCAATAGTTGTTGAGAGATTTTAATCATAACCACAAATGTGAAGCTCGTGGTGGTTGTAGAGGAAGAGTCACCATGGCCACCATAAATGTCTGTACAGCATTTTATGGCAATATAGTTACTGAGATATTTCAGTCTGGACCAAAGTCCTAGCATGGCTAAAAATAAAAATAGGTTTAGGTTTTAACCAAAAAACTTGAGATTGCCACTTGCACAGATTTTCAATTTAGAGTAATTATGAAATATAAACTTTGTCCTCACAGTTAAATACAGTCAGGACAGCACTACCCTGCACTGATCATGCTTTTTATTTGCAGTAGTTATTGCGAGGCAGACAGAGAGTTTATTTTAACCTCTTTTCAAGATCGATCCACCCCTGGGTACTCGATCAGACAGCTGTGAATCCCAAACCCGCGCTTATGTAACGATGAGCAAAGCAGATCTGGGTGGTGTGATCATCAATTGCAATTGGCCGTTTGTATTGATGCTAATGTAACCACTCAATACTTTCCAAATCGACACTCCAGACTTTCATTTCAGAGGGCGCTGGTGATCAGTAAGCACAGTGAGCTTTAGCCTGTCATAGTGTATAATTTTGTTGGATGTTTGAGTTCACCAAAGCTTTCAGCGCACTCACAGAAAAATAGATACTCCAAAAGATTTCTCAGGTATTTTTTTTATTTATTAAAAGAGCCAGTTCCAGTGTGTTTAGTAGAAATTATCATGGAGAACAACTTCACAATCCAGCCAGGTTTTTGTACTGCACAATTTAGGATGCTATTGATGTAACAATATCATATTCAGCTATAACCAACAAAAGAGAAGACAAGACAGCAATTAAATCACTTGATGCAAAATCTTCAGTCGTGTCACTAACCAAATTAACAGAGCTGCTGCTAATCAAACATGTAAGAAATGGAAGAGAAAGTACATTTGTGAACTGAGGCAGAGCAGCCACTGTCCAGAGAAAACCTCCACAAAAGGCCTTTCAAACCTCAATATGCAGCTGCTGTGCCTATGCTATGCTACTGTTGTGCCTGGATTGGAGTTTGATGCCATGGCAACAAAGTATAGTCACATCTAAGCAAATGATCCACACACCAAACTTTTCTTGTCATCTACATACTTGTAACTCCATGGGGTAGACTCTGCTGCTGCTCAAAACATTTTGCACAGGTATCTTTCTGACCTTTATTCCTTTCTGATAAGTCATGGATGCGTGGAACAACGGTGTATATTTCAGATCATAATTTTGACACTGGCTGACTTGCTAGCTACAGATTCTCTGAAGCATATTTCAGTATAACTCCACTTGACTGTTTGCATATCATTTTGTGCTACAAGATGATTTATAGATGCATGTTTTTTGTACTTTTACATCTGAGATCTATTCAAGAGTCTCAACATTTATAAGCCCCAAAGCCCAGGTACAGTAATAATATATTTTGTTGTATAAGCAGACAAATTAAAACAGGTCCAAACATAGATTATATGCAGTTTACCCCTAATTCATGGGTGTGTGATTATAACTTTGTCTGTATTACTGACACTGTAATAGGCATTATTGTTGTTCAGTAGTCACTTTGTCTACCAATTCTATTTTTAAAGTACTTGACATCATATCATAACATGAGCTCTACTACATTTCATATAAAGATGCTTCTGAATATTTTTTGCCATTTACACTGAGGAATTACTGCTGGCAGATTGTTGCTTCCTTGACCTGTCAAAAAACTGTCATGACAAGCAGTTTTATTTTATGGAGCTAAAGTCAACAGAAATCCTGCAACTAAAACATATCCAGGTTGTGAATGCCTGTTAAAAGTGCAGATCTGTAACACAATAACGTTAATGTGCACAGTAAAATTCACTTAACAGAAACATATCTCTGGTTGTGTAGCCTACATTTTTGAGAGGTGTGTATGCCGCTAGCATGCCTAAAAAAATTATTATAATAATTTTGAAATCTGTGTTTCATCCTGTGTTTATGTCATTTTCAAGGATGTGTTTAATTTCACTCAAATCATGAATTAAAACTCTTAATATGCTGCACGTCAACACCGCAGAGTAAATGCACTTTGACTATACATAGCAACATGTGATACAAAAATGCACTGTGTCAAAATTTCAGTTACAGGATTTATGTTTTAACTCGACAGTTTTTAATTAATTTGAGGACACAGTCTAGATTGGTGTCAAATACGTTGGACATATCTCACATACTGTAACTAAGTTCAACCATAAATCTATAACCGAACCCAGACAAAATCTTGGCCAAAATGAACACTGTTGCAGAAAAAGCAACATCACAGTTTTATTGAACCACAGTGAGCAAAGAGATTAAAAATGATTTTACTGCTACATTTTACAGTCTCTTTTCTTTCTATCATGCTCGTAAAGGAAGACCAACAGGAACAGCTACAGATCCTACGGTTGTGCACAAAGTCTCTTGCAGGCCTTTTCCACCAACATGGAACCGGCTCCGTTTTGGTTGGTACACCTAATTTTGAACCGTTCGGAGAATTTTAACCAAAAATAAATTGGGTTGGAACTTGAAAAAGTTGGTTCTCAGCTGGAACCCCAAAAAATAGCAGGTTTTCCTTGAGCTGAAAGGCAAACCGAAGTGGGCGTGTCATATTCTATAGGTTGCTGTGCATTGTGCAACGCCCTCCACTGATGCATCCCTGACTACAGTGGTTCTGCTCAAAACTGGTGGAAACTCGGGCTGGTTCACTAGATAGCACCAAGGTTCCAAGAACCAGAGCTGATTTGGTGGAAAAGGGCTGTCTGAGGTTGTGTACTCTGCACTGAGGCAGTGTACAAATGAAGCATGGATTAAACTGGAACAATGCGAGCAGGGATTCCTTATTCAAGCCCATTTTGTATCAGTCACCTCTAGCGATATTCACCACTTTGCATCAGCTAAATGTGACATACAAATAAAAGTCTTTGTGATATAGCAGCATTGTATTAGTCACAGTGCATGAAGGTAAAAACATTGTCTAAATACAAGTACCAGTTACTACAATATGAAAATATTACATTTGCTTAAGAGAAACAATCCATTATGAAAAGGAAGAGGGTGACAGAAGAGCATCACAGGTTAGATAACATGAGTTTTTGGGTCTCTGGAGGAGGCGGGTGGCAGGGTGAAACAGCACAGCATTACAATGATAGTCATACCTGAAGAGTTCTTACCCCCGTTAGGAAGGAAGGAGGTGATCTGCTTTTTTTCTCGAATCCGCTCATCGTCATCATTGCTATGAATCAAGATCCTTAAATTCAATATTTGGTACAGGAAGTAACACAATGTTTCAAAATGAGCAATAAAGTACAAACAGGAATAATTAAGTTCCCACAAATAAGCTATGCACGGATATACAGTGTTCTCAAAAAACTATCACACATACTGTAACAACCTTCCTCTTTTCAAGTGCAAAACACAGACGATTTGTACACACACTGACACTCACAGAGACACTGGCCCTTCAATTTATATGAATTAAAGAGAAAATGTTCATTGTCCTTCGACGTGTCTCTTGAGTACAAACGACGAGGTCAGCATTGACTCAACTGCACAGCAAGTCCATCAAGCGTGGAAATTGCTTCGACAGCCATCTTGCATATAAAGTCTGTATAAAAATCAAGGAGCTATAGCTACAGGCCCTTCTTCAAAGGTTAATACTACACCTACTGTGAGCTGAGCTGGAGAGACTGGAGGAGTGAACAGCATGTTTGGTTGAGGTCTCTCCAGCTAAAATAAAGGCGAGAGGTAAAAACAGGAATACGGTATGTTGACCCACGTTTAATGAGGTCTGATAACAATGAAACTGTAATACTGCAACGCAAAGCACGGCTGAAGATCCTTACTGTCTCTGCTGGAAGATGTCATTCTGCCCGAAAAGGCCTTTCATACAAAACAAAGATTCATGTATAAAACTGTAAATACACAGTTACACTATATGTGTATACCTAACATGATGAAGAAAATTGACTGTAGAAAAATATATAGCCTATATCAAAGTCATTTAGCCAGAAAATAAATCCAACAAGCAAAATTCAGGATCATTTTACAAAGTCATATTTATGATGACAACACCAGAGGACCAAATTACACAAGGCTGAACTGAAGGCATTTTGGTTGTAGAAACTTGAAACAGGGCATTTTTGTTAAGTTGAAATCTAGAAAAGGGGCAACTGGAATCTGGTTAAAATATTACACGAATAAAAACAAAAAACTAACAAAGCTTTTGAACTCTTACCTCAGGTGTAAACTTTTATATTCGGTCACATATACTCAATTTATATTTCAATTTGTTTGGGTTTTTGTGGACACACGAGCTAGTATTGCACATTCCCTCTTTAATGTGTTGTCAAATGGTCACTCATAGACGTGTGCTGAATCTGTGCACTATGAGAGTGCCCCAGCATCCCTGCCACACTGCACAAGCATTTATTCATAGGAGAACACAACACAAATAAATAAAAATAATAACATCACAAGTGTCTCCTCTACCTACATCCTTGCAAAAAGTAATTTAATCTTTCTTTACAAGTATGTCACATGTGACTCAGGTTAACAATTGATGCTAGCACAAATTGTGTATTTCACTGTATACATTAATAGCATGTTATCAAAAAATGTGTATGGCATCAGTTTAGAAAATGTGCAAAATAATTCCAAGTGTTGGCTAACAGTTTAGAAAACACCAGTTTTCAACTAATCACTGCTTCTTTCCAGAAAGTAAATTAACTGATATAATATGGAGCTGTGATGCTTTGAAAATCCTGCAAGTCAACGCTCGATATACTCCGTTTATATCACATTGTTTTAGACCCAAATTTAAGAACTACACAACACTGAAGGAAATCTGCACTGACTTTGTACATTATAACTGATTTATGAGATGTTTTGTAACTGTTCTGTAATATGAAAATACCTTAAAAGGCCCCACTTTAATGTCCAGTGATGTTTTTGCTATCCTAAACCAGCAGAGTCACTTTACAGGACATAAAAGTTTAATTGAATGTGTACTGAAAAGGACTCCGACCATAACAATTCAGTTATGGAGGAGTTTACAGTGAATCAAGTATCCTTCTCTAATCCAACCAAAGCCTTCATAATAAAAATAATGCATAGTCATAAGGGACACAATTGAGAAATTCAGTAAAGACAACAATAAGGCAAAAGAACAGTTAGGGAGTAACAACGGACATCGACTAAGCAACTAAGACATCACCATCTCTAAGAAAACAGTGATGTTTTTTGACTCCTTCACAAAAAACTAACTATAAAGTAGATTTGGCTGTAAGAGTGATCATGACTTTAGGGAAGACATTGTAAGCTGTGAAACAATACATTTTTTCAAATTGGTACATGTGGCAACTCTTGTTAGCTGCCACAGGATGTTAAAACAAGAAAAGCAAGCCAAGATCGGCGATCAAAAATGACAAAATAAAAGCTTATAGTTTTGCACAGTTTTTCCACCACAACACATATTGAATATGTGGGCTCTATGTTACCAACCAGACTGGTTAAGCGGGATGTAAATTGTTGCCTCTTCCCTGTTACTGGGTCTTCTCCAATAAATCAAACTATGGTGTGCTCTTTGCTTTTTTAGAAATATCTGTCCGTGCACCATGACAAGACTGTTTCATGCTAAACACCAAACAAGAATGTTTTTTTTTTACATTGTATAAAATTAATAAAAATAATGCATTTCTCTTATGAATCAACCACAAAATAAATAGTGCACAGTTGGAAAAGGTCTGTTTTAAAGCACATTATTCCAGCAGGACAAGTCCTGCCAACCCACATCTCCAGTCAAATATACTGTAAATCATAGTGTGCATAAAAAATCTCTGAAAGTACAGTTGAGTTGTGGTTTCAGCTTTGTAGTAAATGTGTTTCTAATGAGCTTATTTCAGTGTATTAACCTGTATATTAGAATGGATATGCAGTGTTAACATTAACACTGACACTTAATATTGTCACTGACAGCTGTACTTATTTGTTACTCCAACCCTGTGAGTGCATCACCCATGAGATGTTTTCAGTGCACAGCATCATTTCAGACTTGCAAAACTTTATTTTGCTATTATACAGGCGACTTCACTGAAATAAAACCATTCTTATGCATTTCCACAAGCTGTTAGTCCCTTTTGCGATACGTTTCCCAGATTAATGCTACTCAATGCTACCTATTAGGTGCCATGCCGCTCTATTTCACAGTTCTCAAATAGGAAAAAAAACCTCATAGACATGATACTCTTAACCAAAAACAGTGACTGAGGTCTGTGTGACAAATTCTTCTCATCCTTGTGAGAATTAAGTTGGTGATAATGAAACAAATCCATGGGAAGTAAAGTGCATTGTAATAACCTGTGTGTTGCTACATGTGGTGGAAACATCAAAGTGGTGTTGTAGATGAAGTAGGACTTGACCAGACATCACCAGTGAACCCTTTCAATGTCTGCGTTCATACTCTGAATGCATTTATGATTAATGGCAACAAAGTCACTGTTTTTCTATGTGTGGCTGTAAACGATGGGAACATAAAGGAAGAAACATCAGAAAAAAAGACATGAGATATCTTAAAGTGATGTTAAGCCCATACAAAATATTGGCACATTACCTTACAAACAGAATACTGGATGATGATCATGTTGTCTAAGAGTTATTTCTTAAACAAATGTAGCATCCTGTCTTTTTTCTCACATTTCACAGTATTAAAAGTGCACTAATTACCAAACACGCCACCAGTTTCAAATTGTAATATTTCTATATTAGGTTTCTCTTCCAAAATGTGCCACACTTTCAGTGATCATCATTAATGCCATTTAATCCCTCTAGTTTGTCTCATTTTACACACTCCTGACCCCTGACCGTTCTCACACCTGCGTCTCCACACCGTTAAGTTTAGGCATCAGGATACGAGGAGTCACCCCAGAGTTGAGGTCCCTCTCGAACTCCAAAAGCTGGCCCATGAAGTTTAGATTCGGTGACACCACTGGACGACGGCTCCGCACATATTTGTAGGCATCTGTCATTGTCATGAGGGTATGCTTCATAAGGTAGGCGATGACAATGGTTGCAGAACGGGACACGCCTGCCTGGCAGTGTACCAACACTCCCTGTCCACTCTGATATGCCTCCTCTGTGAATGAGAACAACCAAACAGTGAATTCAATTTGCTGAATTAAAGATGTAAAAACTGGAGGGTGGTTATCTCTAACTTGGTTGAGTGCCTGCCCCATGTACAAGGCTGAGTTCCTACTGCAGTCTTGTTCTCAATCCAGCCCTAGCAAAGGTACCTGTCAGCAACTATTGTCTTTGTGTAAATAAAGAATTAAAAAAACAAACAATCAAAAACTGTCAACAAAGCCTCCACACCCAAATTTCACATAGTCTGTCAAAATAGAAAATGAAACAATATAGTTAAAGTCTACTGTTTGGAGATACAGTTATTTACTGACCATCAACAGCTAGCTTAGCCCTGGTGACTGCACGCAGCACTCTAGTCCCAACTGAACGAAACCTTGTTACCTGAATGTGGGATACCACCCCATTGTAGGCACAGCTAACGCTAGCTAGCTAGCAGCTACGAAGACACAACTTTTGAGTGACTGTGAGGCGCTTTTCTCCTCTTTTGGTAGTGGCTAACCCCCTCCCTACTCCTCTCACCCCAGAAAACATTCTGGACCACTCTCGCCACTGAATGCCTCCATTAAACTCTTGGTAAGACAGCTAACAAGCCAACCCCCAGAATGTTGAAGTAATGGACCGTTACTATTAGTACTAGTAACTGTAATGTAATTATTTAATTAATTGTAACCCATTGTTAATGAAAAAAGTAATCACATTACTGTCACACACGACTAAGTAATGCACTACTGCCCACCACTGCTAATTGTTACTTTACTTCTTAGTGCTGACTGACTCTCTTCAACATACCATATACATCCTCACAATACAACAACATATGAGATGTGGACTTACCAATGAACTCAAAAACCTCCTCAAAGTATTGTCGAAGGTTTTGCTTGCTGTTATCGGTGGCTGGCAGCCTTTTGTAGCGCAGCCCAGAGCTGACGTGGTAGAGAGGCAGGTGTGTGGTCACGTTGACCACGTAGCCGATGTTGAGGCGCAGCAGCAGGTCCAGGTCCTCGGCGTCTCTCTCGTTCCCCAGAAACAAGAAAGGCAAGATGGGACTGACGACGGCGTTCTCTGCATCAGGTGTCATCACGGTCTCATCTGACAGAGAAGCCGGTAACGAAGAGGAGAGCGGCAGAGAAAGGTGCACTAAAAGGAGACAAGACGTGTGTAAAGACATCCTCTGCCGTGTGTGAATACAGTTATGTTAGAGTTTAAACTGCTGCCACAAAGTAAGAAATTACAAGATTAATACGTTAAAATATGAACAGGGTGACAAAAAATCCAACAGAAAAACAACATCTATAGTGACTAAATCAACAATGGAATCCCTAATTCAAAAGTAGGTCATATTAGAGTTAATTAGCTAATTGGCTATAAAAGTGGTCTGACCATTAGCACTTTGATTATATTATAACTTAAATGAAACAACTTGCTAAGATCCAAATGAGCTAGATGTTCCCAAATGAAAAACCCAGGAAAAGTATTTTCACATATCAAGGGGCTCAGAATCATGACATACACTTAACACAGACTGCACTCACGAACACACGCACGTTAAAGCTAACCAGGATTTTTTGGTGGACATGTAAAGGGTTAAAAATGCTGCTAAATGACATTCAACCTAAAATGACCCAGCTTAATGTCAGTGATTGCGGTGGAAAATGTGTGACTTCACAGTGTAGATATGATGTATATTTTAGCACTTGCACAGGTAAATGATAAGATATTCTTACTTCTGCTGTTCTCCTCATCTTGTTCTCTGTTCAGGGAATTGAGGGCCAGGTGAAGTGACTGAGCCGACGGCAGAGAATATCCTCCCTCCCTGTCTCTCTGCCAGGGTTTGGGTTTGATCAGTGTGCTAGGGGCGGACGGTGGAGGCGAAAAGGACACTGGTGTCGGTGGGGAGGCAGAGCGGGGAGAGGGGGAACATGGATATGCTACATCTCCGTCTTCCTCAGGACCATTGCCCATTCCTACATCTTCGGCTTTATTCAAGAGCCTCTTCAGTGAGTTCCGGCCATTGTCATACCCAGATCCTGACTTGTAGCCCATAAAATCAAGGGCAGCCATTTTCCCCTGCTGAAGCCGCCGTCGGCCTGCATGGTCTGTTAGCTGAGGCTGCACATATTCCTGGAGTTTTTGACAGTCTAGGGGGACAAGGCCTGTTCCGGTACTGCCATTTTGGGCCTGGCTTGCACAGGTCTTCCCAACTCCTATTCCCATCCCTGCACAGTGATTCTTTTGGGCTTTAGAATGGGTCATCTTCTTGGCCAGTTCTTCAGGCCAGATCGTACGTACGCTGTAGTCATCATCATCGGCTTGGAACATACCCATTGGATGAGCAGCTCCGATGCCTCTTCCTGGGGGTTTGCCTCGGCGGGGGTTGAATGTCACCACTATGGGGTCGCTGCTGCAGTAGCTGCAGGTGGAGCTGCCTGTCTGAGAGGCTTTGGGGTTGCAGCCTGTGACACAGCTCTGTATCGCCCGGAGAGGGGCAGAGGACGATAGCGGGGTACAGGGCAGACATCCCCCTACCAGTTTTTTGCGAAGGAAAGCAGGACTCTCGAAGTTTCCAGCCTCAGCAGAACAGGAGGCACAGCGGAGAGGTTTGAACAAGTTTGCTCGGCAATCAGACACAGTGCTGTTAGAAGAGGAGGTGTTGGAGGTGGACGTGGTGGAGAGACACCCACCCAGATTTCTTAGGCCCATGTCTTTGCCTCCTCTCTTCACTGCTCCGACATTGTGAACACAGGAAAACGAGGTGGAAGAGCTTCCTCCACCTCCTTGGCAGCTATCAGAGTGTCCCTTAAATCCTCTGCATCTTACCAACCTCCAACAGCCACAACTGAATGGGTGGGCGCAGTCGATGGTGCAGGTATGGTCAGGGCTGGGAAACCCTCCGATATTGGAAGAGCAGGGGGAGACAGGGAGAGCGTGAAGAATGTGAGGGCGGTGATCCCTGGTGCGGGATGGGTGCGGCTGGTTGAGTTGCTGAAATGATATTGGGACATGGGCGGATTGGGAGGGAGGAGACGAGGGATAGCTGGAGTTTAGGATGGCGGCATGGGGCACAGGGACGGAGTTGTGGTGGTAGGGCAGACCTTGACTATTATGGCTTTGATGGACAGTTCCCAGTTTGGAATTCTTCTTGTGACTTAAAGAGGGGAATTCCTGGTCACTTCTGTTAAGAAAACTAGCATTTTCCTTTTCACTCCTGAACCTATGCTGCTGCGCCTGAGCGGGGACGAACTGTAAGACGCCTCCGGGGGAAGATGACAGCTGACTATGGCGACTTCGCTGTGACTTTTGTTCGGCTACACCTGGTCTCCCTGCAGTTCCAGTTTTTCTCTCATACTGTCCTTGATCCAACTGTAAAGAGACATTTTGCTTGACCACCTTTTACACTTCCGCTGCGCCCTAATGAGTTGCTTAATACTCCTCGTCCTCCCTTGTCCACTGTCAGCCTGATATCAATAGTATGTGTGTGGGAGGGCAGCCGTGGGCCGAGTGTTACAGTGCCATTGCTATGGCAGTGGCTAGGGATGTGTCTGACACCCGCTGGGATGACAGGCTGGTCGGCCTTGAATTTCTGCGCACGGGAGGATCTGCGCTTGCATCCCAGAGTCACAGATTTACAGGCGGGTGAATAGAAATGGGACTGAGAAGGGTGAGTGACTTGTCCATTGGAAGAGGCTGATATTTGAGAGGAGTGATGTGGGATGGCTTGTGGGGAAGCGTCACACAGGGTTAAGTTTTTAGGGCGCTGAATGACCACTATGCGCTCATCAAGAGGGAGGGGAGGCATCTGGGTTTATGCAAAGCTGTCCAGTGAAGAGGGAGAGAGAGACAGGAAGAGAGTAGTCAGGAAATTACTATAATTTAACAAACACTGAAGATGTGGGGCACACTTTACCTTCCATAAGTTTAGACAAACAGCACATGCTGTTAGACAGCACATACACATAATTGTGAGCATAATTGTTTTTTTCTATTGATATCGTATGTTTATCATATCATGTTTAGAATATTGTGTGATTGATTACATTTAAAAATAATTATTTGTGAAATGTAAAGTAAAACCCCAAATCCACCACAGGAATGACAACACATGTTGATAACAACAATAGATTCTTATGTTTTGCATATTTTTGCAAGTCATCTCTAAGGTGTCATTAGCATACCAAAACATACCAGGAACAAATACAAAACCAACAACCACCATCTCAGTTTTGACCATTAACATGTCACACATATTTTCCTTTCACATCTGCTGCAAATGAAAGGAGAAATTATATAAACAGAATACCCACTGAGGTGCATGTTTGATTTGAAAGGATTACACTGTTGTGATTACTCCCCCCCCCCCAAATCCATTTAAACATGCACATCAGTCTGTTACCTGCTTATACCAGGGCCACTTGCCGGGCATTTAACGCTCATCTATATTCATAGGAGTTTGACATTCAAATTTAAACTGTTTCCCAGTAATATCACGACCATTAGGGTATAAAATTCCAAATTCAAAGGTACAAGAGTGTGTACCTGTTTGCTGTTTGCAGCAAATAATCCCTGATAATCCTGATGGCATTGAGGCTTTTTAAAAGCTCAGTTACAAAAGCTGCATCAAATAAGCTTCAACAACCTTCCTCCCTCTGATGAGTCCTCAGTCACATGAAATAATAAGCCAAGCCAAGCCAAGTCATGGCTGATGGTAAAAATATACTGTAAAACATAGCTGCACTATGTAATGATGCCCAAGCCTGTAAAAAAACAAAACAACTGGCAATGGATGATTTGTCATGATTGCCTTGGGGCTGAAGAAGAAGCCCATGTATGTGAATGCTCCTGTGATATGCACAGATTATTTTTAAGCAGTACTTAAATTCGACCAAAATCATATAGCTGTCTTTGCACTGTTTTGCAACAGGACAACATGGAGACTGAGCCAATGGCTCAGTGGGATTCTTCACTTTAAAGACTGCTTAATGCTGGAGAGCCATGTGATTACCTGAAATGAAACACTTCCTGCTCCCAGCCACCCAGCCTGTTCATCCTCTGCCTCTGGAATAAACTAAATTAACCGAATCCTTTGGGCCAATTAGAAATTAGCATTTGTCCAGGCCATGGTATAAACAGAAGGTCACCACATACACAACAATACAATTCAGCTGAATACAAAGCTTTCTCACCATGACACAGCAAAAACAATTCAACTGGCTGTAGCTTATAAATATACACTTTGTAATAAAACACATAAGAAGAATTTTTTTGTATCATTAAATTGCCTTTATGATTAATGCTATTAATAAAAGGTTGGTACAGTTACTACCAGACTTTTGACTTGGTACATTCATTATAAAGGCTGCTCTTAAACGTTAACATGAAATATTATTAAAGTGAAAATCCACCCTCTGATACACACACTGTTAAATAACATCAATCAGAAATGTTCAGCGCATCCAGGAGTTGTTTGGTTGATGAAGTACTTTAATTTACTTTTTGCCACACTAGCGGCATGGCTGTAGGGGCGGCTATACAGGTTGGTTAGGAGGATGCTGGCATGCTGATGTTAGCATTAAGCTCAAACAGAGTTCAACTAGAACAAGAGATTTCCAAGTCCAGAAAAGAAAAGTGTTGCATTTTACTGCAGACTTGACAACTATGCAGTCTGTTTGTTATTCTGTTGATGTTGGTATGAAGTGAGCATGAAGTAAGCAATTACCTTCAACAGCAGCATCTTCAAAGATCTCACAGTGAATGCTTTTTATTGGAACTACTTTCTACTGAAGATATAGTCACAATGGAAACAGTTGACATCATATTCTCCATTGTCTACACCTCCATTGCGGGGCAGACATTTCAGAGACAGACATCTCAAAACCTAGACAAGTAAATCAATCTATATGCATTTCTATATACCACTAGCGTAAGTGAGACATTTTTTGGTCATTTTGACAAAACACTTTACACTCAGCAATAGCTAAGCTGGAGATGCATCAACCTCACAACAAACTAGACTATAATTGTGACATACATCTCATATAGTTGTTTTAAAACAGTGTTTGTTATGGTGGATTTTCATTTTAAAAGCCATTCCAGCCAAGAAACTCTCAGAGTGGAAGACCAAAAAGTTGAAAGTGGAAAACGGAGGAACAGACACTGAAGACAACACTGGCTGACAGAAACAACGTGGGTGGAGAGAACATACATGGGGTCAGATTATAACGTGACACTGTAAACCACAGACTACAGGGGAGGAAGGATCATGTCAAAATAATCTGGGGATGCCTTCAGTCCCAACACAACACAGATACCGACCCATAGAGAAAGCAAACCACGCTCCAGTGTCCCCATGCTTATACCCACGCACAGAGTCTGGTGATGGTATCCTCATCTTTTTTTTCCTTTTTCAGCCTTGCCTGTGGTGGAGGGGGTGGGGGTTACATTGACCCAGTTTTATCATGGTGGAAGTCACTATCACTCTGATCACTTTTCTCTCACACACTGTAAACTGCAGACGGGCTAGTGGCCTTTTCACTCACTCATGGGCATAGCTTTGGCAGACAGTAAGGGCCAAAGAGAGAGAGAGAGAGAGAGAGAGAGAGAGAGAGAGAGAGATGGAAAATACTAAAACAAAGTACAACAGTGATGCCTTACACCATCTGAAGGGCTAGTAACAATAAAAGCTTCTGTTGGCAACATGTTAAAATTTCACATTACTACATACAGTCAACCCTGCAATTGGATATAAATGGGGTTGGCCTGCTGAAGCTTTGTGGTCATGTCCAACCTCCTCCCACCCACGATTTATTTTGTGACCCTTAGAGGCGGCAACCCCTTGGGAACGACTAAACTACTTCCCTGTACATACAGTAGTTGAAACCAGTTCCACCATGACCAGCTAGTCAGTCACAGGGGACATCTTTCTATACAATGAGTACTTTTACTCTTGATACTGAAGTACAATTGTTGACAATACTTTCGTACTTAAGTCATTTTACGTTGTTGCGTTGGTACTTTTACTTAAGTTGAGGTTTGAGTACTTCTGCCACTACTTGTCGAGTCAGTTGTGGGGATCTGGTTTTGCAGGACTTTGGGTTTAAGGCAATTTGCAAAGAAAACTCTCGCACACTGTCCAACTTGCAAAAAAAAAAGTACTGACACAACGTTTCGGTGCGAGACCTTCATCGGGCAAATAGTGTTACATACTGAGAAGCCATCTTTTGTAGGAGGTGACTTGTTTGTCTACACCAATCACCCACTCCCTCACAAAATAATGCAGCCATTACAAAACATTCAGTCACATTTCCATTACTAAAGATCCAGACTAAGCTTCCATATGAGTCTCTCTGTGGTAACAATACTATATCGTTCCAGAGTGATCTACACTAGATGGATGTATCATGAATGTACACCAAAAAATGTAATAAAATGCATTCATTGACAGATATGTTCTCAGATCTTGCTAGTACCTTATACATCAATAGATAAATCGAGGAAATATAATGAAAACACAACATTTGACCCCACAATAGATTCAAAAAACAATAATATCATACTTCAATAATTTAAGGTTAAATAACAATGAAATTTATAGAAAAAAATACAAAGTGAAAAAAATCATCACCCTGAATGTTGCCTAAAAAAATTCCTTTATTATTATATAGGTGCAACAAAAACATCAAGGCCTCAAGAATAACTAGCGGCATCAGTGCATTCATATGTAAATGGTCACAATCAACAGGACACAATACTTAATGGTCCTAATAATATATGTGCATATTCATACATATCCAGGAATGTTTAGGGCTGGACAGGGAAATCCTCAGGTGAATCATTAAGTAGCAAAGCATATGCAGACAATAAATGTGCAAAAATGTTCAGAATCACGAGAAAAATGTTAAGCAGGAATTCACTGTCAAGTCCCCTTGGAGCCAATCACAGTCACTGCCCCTGAGTGGTAGGGTGACCTGTTGCCACGGAACCATAGTGAAGCGATGTCACGGTGAGCATCACTGAAGTGCACAGCAATAGGATAAAGCTGATCGTTTCTATGTATAGTACTTTTGTGCTCACTAATCCTTTGTTTAAGTTTTCTAATTGTTTTCTCAACATAAGAAAGACCACAGGGACAGCGTATCATGTGGATTACGTTTGTGGATGCACAAATGATGACACTGTTAATGGGTAATGTTTTGCCTGTGTGGGGTTGGGAAAAATGATGCATTTTTATAGTATTATTGCACTGTGTGCAACTGCCGCAGTGGTAGTTGCCCTTTGGAAGCGGGTGTAAACGTGTCTGTATCTCTTGATTAGACCTAATCTTGTACTCAGAATTGGCGCAGACCAAGTGAAACCTTATATTTCCCCCCCTTTTCATAACAAAAAGAGGTGGATCTCCAAAGTTAGATGAAAGTTCAGGGTCAGACTTTAAGATGTGCCAGTGTTTTTTAAAAAACGATCGTATGGCAGAGGAATGGACTGAGTGTCGAGTACTACATGTAACAGCAAATGTCTTTTGTTTTTTTGCACTCTCTTTCATGTCTACGCTTTATCAATATAGTCCTCTGTGGAATGACAGATCCTTCTTAGTCGAAAAAATAGACTGGTAGTCAATGTCTTTCCGGTAAAGAGTTTTTATGAGGGAGTGAGTTTAAAACAATTAAAAAAGGTAAATACTGTTGAGAATTCAAATATCCTGTCATCTCGTCATCTCTGTGTATTTGTTCTCTGGTCCTGAGGCCAGACTGGTGACAAATGGCAGTTAGAGAAAGGATTCATATGAGAATAAAACTGTTAAATGGTGTCAGCCCTGTTGATTAGGACATTAATAGAAATTGTGTTTAATTAACTGTGTTTATGTGAAATCATTTCAGTTGGTTGGCCTAATTAATTTGTCTTTCTATCACATTTATGGAATCTGATGAAAGGCTGTAAGCTACCTGCTCTGCCAACATACAGTATATGCTGTTGTGTGTTTGCAGTGATTGCCTTTCAAAAATGAGCCGCCTCAATCTGCTTTATAGACCGTTTGATGCTTGTCTAACGCGGAAACTGTTGCTTGCATGATAAAAGAAACAGACTTGTTCTTTTCAGTTTGTTTTTCATTACTGTCCCATTGTTAATAGCTTCAATTGCCAGATCCCAGAACTGGGGTGGCAGCCAATCTATCAAAGAGCAGTGCAGAGAGACAAAAGGATGTAGCTCATTGTTAAAAAAAGGAGTTCTGCTCAATTTTATGGCCAAATCTGATGTCTTACGGGTCCAGGGCCATCAAACAATCTGTAATGTATTAATGTGTAAATGTGTAATATTGTAGAATATGGCCAGGCTACAACCAAGCACAGTAATAAACCCGTAAACCCATGTGTGCTGCATAACTGCAGCAATATTATATATCACACAACTCATATCAGTGTTGTGTATCAGATTAAATAATTGTACAGATTTTCAAATTATTATTATTTTGATCGTTTGATATTTTAGTAATTTTTTTGTTTTTACATTTGATACTGATTTCTTTTTCTTCTTTTCTTTTATTATTTTTTTAATCAATTAATTATTCTTTAAATTTTTTTGTCATTATATATATACACACACACACACACACACATTTTTTTAACACACATACGCTTACTGTTTTATTTATTTATTTAATTTTTTATATTTTTATTTTTAACACACACACACGCTTACTATTTTATTTTATTTTTTTAACACACACAGGCTTACTGTTTTATTTATTATTTATTTTATTTTTAATATATTTTTATTTTTTAACACACACACACACACACTCTCTTACTGTTTTATTTATTTATTTTATTTTATTTTTTTAACACACACACACGCTTACTGTGTTATTTATTTATTTATTTAACACACACACTTACTGTTTTATTTATTTGTTTTATTTTTAATTTTTTTTTTTTTAACACAAACACATACGCTTTGATTACTTTACGCTTTATTACTTGTTTAATGAAATGTATGGGGTTGATTGTTCTTATGTTGTATGTATGATGCTTTGGCAATGTTATTGTTACATATGCGTGCCAATAAAGCTAATTTGAATTGAATTGAATTGAATTGAATTGATTGCATAATATATCTACTAGGCATACATGACTTCAGAAGTTGACAGTAGTGTGAATAAGTTATGAGCCCCTTTTAGAAGAACTGAGGCATAACAGCTACTGAGGATCCTATTTGAAGTGTTTGACAGCGCAAGCTACTTATATTAGGCTGAATAAACAAATGTCACAGGGTGGATCAAGGAGTGGAGAGGTAAAAGCAAATGTATGCGCATGATTAGGTATGTATTAATATTTAAGGAAAAGGCTAACGTATGCTAAGCTTTGCAATCACGTTAGCTGCGTCAGAATTCAAGCACATGAAAGTGTAACGAGTTGAAATAAGGACTCACACAGATAAAAAGAAATATTTGAAAAAGAAGGAGAGTGCCAATCAGTTCCTGTTAGTGAGAGCTGCATGAGCCTACGGGGGAGATCATGACGCCCTGCCTTGGCTCACTGCTACCCCACCAGCAGAATAAAGATAGCAGCTTTACAGTCACAGCCATAAGCCAGAGAGAGGAGTATGGCACACATGCTAGTGTTTTTCCAGATGATTTAACTCTTTCCCAAACACCTGAGCAAAACCTGCAATTTAATAAACAGCTATAATTTGCTTGCTTTGCACCTGTGAACGGTGTAATGTTTCATAAAACCAAATTCAATCTGAGTTGGAATAATTATAATTTCATGGTGAGTACAATAAAAAAACTAATTGATTTTGTCTTGAAAAGAGAATTGATGGACATGAAATGATGCCTCACATACAGGACAGGAGGACAGTTTATGACTTATAGCAGACAGCGGACTATAAAGAATATCAGTGTAGATTTAGGCAGCATGGTGAACAGTGCGTCTCAGCTGCAGAGTTGATGCAGTGGGTGTTCTTGGGGACAAGATGTTGAGTGGGCTGGTGTTTATAGGAACAGATGGCTGTCTGGCTTTGCAAGATTGATGGCGATATCGCCGTTCTCTCTCTCCGCCCCGGCTTTATGCAGCTCCTTCATCAAAAGGCACCTGACAGCCAAACACCCACACAGCACAGTGGACAACACCAAAGCAAAAACCAAGGCTGCTCAATTACTGGCTCATAAAATTGCTCGAGTTAGAGAATCTCTTCCTCTGCTACATGAAATGAATTTTTTTCATCACAGTAAAAACGGCTTCTCGAGATAGTGGACGACGGGAAAATTAGTCATCTGAATCATTTGTTTCCAGAGGCTGATGAGCAGGCTGTTTCTGTCAGACGACAATCCACATTTCTACAGTTTTCCTGGTGTTTAGCTCTGAGTTGGCACAAAATGACAGGAGGCAGTCCATTTCTGTGTTTATATGGTTGTCCACACACATAACCAAACTGACAGATGGTCAGGAAGATCTTGTGCACTGGGCACAAAGGTGGTACTAGGATGTTCACAATAATACCTACTAGCACTGTGGGTCAAACATTTGTTCTACAGGAGGTTCTTCATCCACACACAGACACACACAAACATTGCAATTACACAATGTCAGAACAGTGTCAGTTTTTCTAATGCTAACGCATGAAGATACACAAGAAAAGTACTAGTTGTGATATTAAAGGAATAGTTCGAAATTTTGGGAAATACAAGTTGAGAAAATCAATTCCACTTATGTGCCGGGCTATTTCTAAGAACTGAGCAGTGACTTTCTGAAGTCTACACTGGTTTGCTGGCAACCTCATGCTGACAACAACACCCCAGGAACTCGCTGCTACTGGGCAAGAAATAGTTGAGCTCAAAAAACCCCCATAAAACCGCAACTTGATGTTCTGATACTTTGTTTTGCCGTTTTTATTATGAAATTAAAGAAATAAGATATAACATGTTAATACATGAGCTTCAGAGATTTTTCAACTGTTTCACACTTAATGTGGACATTGATGCATGCTGAACAAAACACCCTTTTCTCTTTCAGTAAAATAAGAACAGTAATCTAAACTGCCCCCCTGGGGTTGTTTGGTAAAGACAGAATAATTAATTTTCAGCCTTTTGTCCGTCATTGTGGACCCTGGAAATTTGGAATACCCCAGCATCATATACAGCCGTACTGATTACTGATTAATTTCATTTTCAGACCTCAGTGTAATTTGACAGTCCAATGGGAGATCACAATTCTAGATGGTTTCTACTCTGTTTCTGTTTATTGTGTGAAAGTATTGAGTACTGAAAACCAGCGGTACAGATAGAAAATCTGTGTCAGCTCAAATTCAGTGCACTGAATTTTGAAGATTTCCGACCTCCAACTAGAAAAAGTACAATAAAATGGCGCTCAAAGTTGGAGTTGCTACTTGTGAACTCGGAGCAAATCCATCTCCTGCAACTTCATGAAGTATATTGGCCTGTATTTAATTAAAAATAATACATACTAAAACCTGTTCTTGTATGTAAATTGATGTCAACATATGTCGTCGATGTTATTAGCTAGCTGGTTACAGTAAATAATCTCTGAAAGACATCTTCTCTGCACAACTGTTGCTCAGGAAAATGTTAAAAATGCCCAAACATTTGACAAACAACCCGTTCTCACTCCCAGGCCATCACATGTGGACATATGGCTAAGACCTCTTGGCGTCAGTTTGAAATGCATTGGGAACCTCCTTAGCATCATAGTTCAACACACTAGGGGAAGCCCTGTTGCGTCATTTCTGAATGCTAAAAGCAGGTGTATGATATACTGTAAATAACAGAAACGTCTGAGTAAAGAGGTGGGTTGGCCTGAAACCAGACTTTCAGGACAATGGTGTAAGTTTCCCATGTGAAACAAAACATTTTTAGCGAGGTTACGATGGTTAGGTAAGTTACGTAAGTTACATAAGTGACATAAATGTTACTTAACTTATGTAAGTTAAGTCACATAAGTAACACAGTTATTTTAACCTAAACCATAATGTTTTCCTAAACTTAACCAAGTAGTTTTGTTACCTACACATAACCAAAGTGCGAAGTTTCGCAACTTTAACCACTAGCTTCATTTTGAAAGTCTAACTGGATGTTGCACATTTATTCTTGCTAACCACTGCTAACTTGACTGGGTAGCTCTACAGTCAAAAATGATGGTAAAGGGGTACCCAGGGGTGTAAAAAACAGTGCCATGGGGTCAAGTGTCCATTTGTGACGAGTTTGGATTGAGTAGCTTTTGCAGATAACTAACTAGCTAGATGGCAAGACAGACGAAGAATGTATATTTATGTCACTCATTTTCATTAAAATGGCCAACTTTTTATTTACCACAAAGTTCAAGTTCAAGTTCAAGTTTATTTATATAGCACATTTAAAAACAACACTAGTTGACCAAAGTGCTTTCCACAATAGACAACAAATATACATGGCAACAGTAGAAAAAGTAAAAAAAAAAAAAAAATGTCACTACTTAACTCTGTTTGAAGGCCAATGAATAAAGATAGGTCTTTAGCAAGGATTTGAAAGTGTCAGGAGTTTGGGCATTTCTTATTTGAACAGGTAAAGTATTCCAAAGATTAGGAGCAGCTACTGAGAAGGCTCGGTCACCTTTAGTTTTTAACCTGGATCTGGGGACATCAAGGAGCATCTGATTGGATGACCTCAGTGCTTTGACCACAAAGGGCACTGCTGAGGGTTCAATTGTGTGTAAACTTGACAAAATAACATCACTTTGTCACGTCATGCACCTGGAACACTTTGAGGTTGGAAGTCAGAAATTCCAACCTCCAACTGTGACTGGAACGCAGCATGATAATGAGGAACTAAAAGGAAAATACATGGACGCTGCTCCCCTTGTGTTTTCTCATGATGGTACTTTTTTTAATCTTCAGGAATGTGCACGGATTATAAAGTCCATCGTGGGACTTTTGGATTTAATCCTGTGTCATATGGCAGAATTAGACAAATGATTGTACATGTTATGAGGGGAGTGAATGAGCCTTCAGCTACAGCAAATGTTGGTCTGAATGAAAAGAAAGTCTTTTCTTGGCCTGCACAGATGTTAGTATCAGAGAAAAAGCTAATTCACAAATCAGCAGAGAAGCAGAAAATGATCAAGCTTATTGGGATTTAAACACTCGAGCATTTTGAATCCGATTTTAACAAGGCAAACAGACACTGATGTATTGCTGAACACTGAAAATTGTCTGACCACCAAAGCTTTGTGGGAAGCATTCAATTTAGTACCATATTGAGATGAAAGTCTACTTTAAAGAAAAACAAATACAAATACATTGCAGTATAGATTCTTCCCTTGAATATTCACCAGGCTGGAAATGTTAATTACAACTGCAGAAGAATGGGTTGTAGACATGCAAAGACAGCAGAGAGATAATCACTCCCTGCTATCACAAATGTGATATGAATGATTATGGCTGCTGGCCAAACGGGGCCACATTTCTATAACGTGACCAAGTTAGCAGCGCACACACGTTAATGTGTGTCATTGTGTTACTGGCAAGTG